TTTATTCTCGCCAAAATAAAACAAATAGGACTTTCTCCAGAGAACAAAATATCATTGGAAATACTGTAAAAAATTCCTTGCTCTGACAACATAATTTGGGCAATATTTTAAAAAGAAGGAGCAAAAATCAGATGATTAATAATTCCGACTTCAATCGTATATGAATAATAAAAATGAATGTTCAAGAAAAGCAAAAATCTTACTTGATTATTTTGTATTTTATTTTTAACCCTATACAATGGGTGAAACTAGTGTTGTACACATCACCATTTGTCTTAGAAAACATATTTCTAAAAGTGCTGTTGACTTGACTTTTTCACCAGATGTGGATAACAACTGAAGAAATCCATATATGCAAAGAAAACAAATCTAATTAGTTCACAAATGAAGTCATGTGCTATAAAAATGAAATGATGCAAGGAAAAAGTATTGAACACATGAAGAAAGGGAAGTGTAGAAAGGCAGTGAAAGCCCACACAGCAGCTGAAATCTCTCAGTAGCTATTTAGTAACCCTCTACCCTTCATCAGTGTAAATTAATTGTCACAATCAACTGTCACAATCACCAGTGATCTAAACACCATAGATCGCTGAAAACATTCACACAAACTACAAATCTGCCGGTTAATGGACTAAAGATCCCAGTCATGCAACACACACACTCACCTGCTCCAAGTCACCATTGATTAGACACTCACAAAGACTGTTTAGACCAGGGGTGTCCAAACTTGGTCCTGGAGGGCCAGTGTCCGGGAAAGTTTAGCTCCAACCCTAATTTAGCTCCAACCCTAATCAAACACACCTGAACCTGCTAATCAAGCTCTTACTAGATATACTAAAAACTTCCTGGCAGGTGTGTTAAAGCAGGTTGGAACTAAGAAGGACACCGGCCCTCCAGAAACGGGTGTTGACACCCCTAGTTTAGACTGTTGGTCACTAATAAGAAGATGACAAATGTTTACAGTATGTTGACCGAAATGGCCTTAAACACCCAGCAGACACAAGACGTCAACATGACATCAGATTGACGTTGTACCCTAACGTCATGTGGACATTGCATTTTGTTTGGAAATGAAAATCAGGTTGGCTTTAGAATTTCACCTGACATCAAAACCTGAATCTAACCTAATATGAACATCTTAAAACGTGTGCCTGCTGGGCAATTATTCGATGCACTACAGAAAGTTACGTTTACACACACATGCACAAAACAAATCTTTCTACAGCTTGTAACTCACTACTCACTCTTAAGTTCTCTAGAACGGGCTACTTTTTACTCATACTTTGAGTAATATTTACAACAGATACTTTTACTCTACTTGCACTACATTTCTAGGCAAGTAATGGTACTTTAGATTTTTTCAGTACTCTTTCCAACACTGCAAATAACTCATTTTTATTTAATTTTTTTATTTATTTATTTATTTTATGTTTGTATTGTTTGGGTTTTTACCAAAATCTGTGTCATTCCATATCAACAGCTCCTTTAGAAATATTATTTCTAGAAAAAAAAACATGAAATGTTCAATACTTATTTAGACCAATTCTTCCAAATGCTTATTCTTTGATTTCACTTAAAAATGCTGAAGCCTCAAGGCAAAAAAATAATAATAATAATTAAAAATATATACAGATATACAGTGTCATTTTAAGTACTAAACCAATTAACTAACTTTTCTCAGTGAAATTTGATTGACAAATGTTTAAATATGTTAACGTGTATAATCAAATTAAACATAACAGGCTGGAAAAAGTAAGAGATTTCCAAAACAGAAATCTGCTACATAAAGCCACATACAGATTTATTTCAACAGTAATAAAAAATAAGTTAAAATAAACTTAAAAAATAAGTTTTGTTGTCAGTTCTGGTGTCTGGTGTCAGTTCTACTGAACTTAATATTTCTGGAATGGTGCAGGATGAGGGACAAATAAATGCATAAGAAAACAGGCTTGTTTAGGCAGCCTTGTCAGTAGTCTGTCACTCATGAAATACAAGAGATATATTCTTTGTCAGGTCTTCAAGTTCTCTTTGAGATTATTTCAAACCACAAACCACAAAGTTGTAAATTTCTTCCAGATGTCAACTTACATAACTGTATCTTTGTGACGTCCTTGTTAAACCATCACTACTGAATGTCTTCCTTTGGGGAAGAGCGATAGTAAAATGGAAACTTATGAAAAGATTTTCCTTTGAGAGCTTGTGACTTTGTTTGCCAAAACAGTTGGGTGTGTTGCAGTTCCTGTAAACCCCTCATAGGCCTTTAAAGATTCGACAGAGATCATCTTCAAAAAATTAATAACAATAAAACCAGAATGTTTGCTCTAAGTGCCACTGAGGGGGGATTTCTGGCTCAGTGCTGGAGAAAACAATACCAATTTAAAAAAAAAATGTTCAACAGATACTGACATTGGTCAGTTGCATACAGCACGAGACAGTTCTAGCTAGTTTTTGTGCATTAAATTAATTTTACTGAACAAGGACTGGATCTATTTATCATTCGAGTTGAGATAAATTAAAAAAAAATCAATTTAAAGTCCAATGTTTTTGTGCCGGTGTTTGAGCTTACCAGCTGCTCTACTGACATCTTTTGTACATGTCAAGTTCAGAACGCTTGATTTTAGCCTTAATTTTGACTCACCAACAGTCTTTGAGAAATTGCCTGAACAACTGTCACAGGCAAATCAGTGCATGTTTGCATGAGTAACAATTACACAGTATGAACTATCAAACACGCGTTCTGAGAGAATCGCTGATGAGTCAAAATCATGTCGTGTGAAATTCTGATTCTGATTGAAAATAACATCAGCGATTGCCTACAGCCAAAAGGAGAGCAGCATCCACTAGTGTGGTAGACCTTGCGTTGTTGCCATGTCACTTCTTGCATGTGTTTGGTTGTGAGATGTAGTTTGTGGACCAAGACAAAGTTGTGTGATTCTTCCTATTGTCAAGTCATGCAGTGTGAAATCCCTGTCACCAATCCATTCTACAGTGTAAACACAGTAGTAATGGATCGCTACCACTGATAGACATGCAGTGTGAGAACATCTGTGATGCAACTACTTTGAAAGATATGCAGTCTGAACTCAGCATTAGGTGCAGGTGTAATTTTTTTAGATTATATTTAGCTTTGTAAAATTATCTTATGCTGTGTTCACACCAGATGCGAAAAGCGCAGATAAATCATGATATTCGCACGTAAACAGCCGCGTCAACATTTAAGTTTACTCGCTTCATTCGTGCGTCAAACCTGCTTCATTTGCGCGTCAAATACTCTTCATTTGCACGTCAAATTCACTTCAGAATAGATGCGGATTCGTGTGATGGGCAGGGCTTCTGTCTGTCTTGTGACTATAGCTTTGTTGCTAAATGGCTAACATGGATTTTATTTTGAAAATAACAGTGTTTATGTTCTTTATAAAGGCTGAAAAACAGCGTTGATACGTTAAGGGCTGTGTCTGAGTACACTAGATCCTTTCAGAGGTGCATCCAGCTCTGTGAGCTCATAAACTTCTCTAGTATCTTAACCTGGATGATGGAGGCTTGAAAGGTGCTTCTGACTGAGTCAAGCCCAGTGTGATGAACTGTTGTCAGTGTCGGCTGGAGGATTTCCCCAGAGACACCAACAACAGGTGCTACGTCACAATCATGCCCCCACAAGAGTAAGCTCCTGATTGGTTAATGTGGCGCGAATGTCGGATTAAGTTCAGATTTTTTAACTCGAGCGATTCGCTTTAAGTAGGATCAAAAGATGTGCAACTCATTGACTCCATGTAATGAATTAAAAATTGGAATCTGCCTTTTTCATGTTCCTTCTGATGTGCTGATATCTAAAAAAATAATCTAATATTGGCTGATATGTATCGGCAGCTGAAATATTGGTGTATCCAAAAAAAGAAGTTTGCCTTTAAGAAGATTTGTATTAATCTTGAAATTCACAGGCACAAAATAAGTTGTGTAAAATGTGTAATAAATTGATTTCCCAGAGATGGGTATGCTGGAAGGGCATCTGCTGTGTAAAAACGTGCTGGATAAGTTGGTGGTTCATTCCAATGTGGGGACTCTGGATTTACTGACTAAGCCAAGAAAATGAATGAATGTGTAATAAATTGAACACTTAAATGCTTATTATTTTCCTTTGTGATCTTCTATATATATCTTATAAAATGTAGTTATTTTCTTAAAGTCTAAAAACTGAAGCAAAATAACCCAGAATTGCAAAGCAGTAACTAAATGACAATGCTTTTCCTGCACTCTCTTGAATTAAATTAAAGTATATTGCAACACATACAAGATAAAAGAAATTGCAACATATTTCCTATTGGGAAATGGCTAAATGTGCCTTCTCTTTTAATAAAAACGACTTACAATGTAAGCAGGTGCAAAACTAATGTTGTAGAAGCTCAATAAAGTGTGCTTAAGTGACACCACAGACTCTGAAGATGAAAATAGCCTGCTTGTGGGCTGATGATGAGTTTGAGGTTATTGTAATGACACTTTGCAGAGTCATTGTTCACCAAAACACAACAGAGTTTGACACGTTTACCATCCACTCCCTTCCTGAACTGTAGTAGCTGCATCGCTTCAAAACGTTTGACATCTTAATTTGGTTAATACATGTGTTAATGGATCTAGAAATAAATAAATACATAAATACACTTCATTTTGATGGTCCGTTTGTTGAATTTAAGTTCAGTAACACTGCATCTACATGCCAACTAATTCTCACTAGATTATAAGTAGACTGTTAGGTTGAGGTTAGTGTAAGTTGACATGCTCTTGCAAGGTTTCTTATAGTCAGTTAAATGTCTGTTGAAGGAGCATATCAACAGATATTAAGCAAACAGTCTACTAATACTCAAATAGACCATCAAAATAAAGTGTAGCCAAAATAAACTAGTAAACTGGATAGTTCATGAAAATAATCTAAATGTCAAAATATGTATTGATATAAATGATCTGTAGTCCAACTGTTAAGTCCCTCTATTTATATTCTTCCACAGAGTCTGCACCCAAAGCATTCAGCATCCCTCTCTCCCAGGTAATCGCAAATGATCTGGCATACAAGCAGCGGCAGGATGCCCTGAAAGAGAGCCGACGGGACTGTCTGGACCTGGAGGCCAGTGTTCTTCACTTCCGGGCAGAGAAATGGCAGCAGAATGGAAATCGTCCGCTGGGGAAAACAGTATTATCACCTGGTGCTGCTTCATCACCGGTGCTGGAGCTCCACAGCAAACCTCCTTCATCTGCGTTCATGGACAACACCTCACGCACACACCGACGGGTGAGGCAAACAGTGTTATTTGTAAAGTGGACATATTATAAAAAATAAAACTTTGTCTGTTTAATTGGATCCTAAAAACATGTTTTTTTCCCAATTTCTGTTTAACAGAATTAATTAGGTAAACTAGGCAGGTTAGGGTAATTAGGCAAGTTATTGTATAACGATGGTTTGTTTTGTAGATTATCGAGAAAAAAAATATAGCTTGAAGGGGCTAATATTTTGTCCCTAAAATGGTGTTTAGAAAATTTAAAACTGCTTTTATTTTAGCCGAAATAAAACAAATAAGACTTTTTCCAGAAGAAAAAATATTATCAGACATACTGTGAAAATGTCCTTGCTCCATTAAACATTATTTGGGAAATATTTAAAAAAAGAAGAAAAAAAATCAAAGGGGGCTAATAATTCTGACTTCATCTGTATATATAATAACTATAAATAATATACCCTGTAAAAAATATCTGTTAATTAATAGTTTCCATATTTTGTGTTTTCTGCTACTTTACAGTTGTAAATTGCATTATAGGATGTTGATGTCTGCTCTGTCTAATTTTTATTGTTATAGTTTAACAAAGCAACTTCTATCAATATTTTAGTAGTCTAAAATAATATAACGTAAAATAAATCATTTATAGAGAAATAGGTTTTGAACATAATGGATAAATATGTTTTTTGTAGCGTAATATAAAACACCTACCCAGACAATAGCAACTGAGCACCCGGAGGAAACCCATGCCAACATGGTGAGAACATGCAAACTCCACACAGAAATGCCAACTGGCCCAGCCGGGGCTTGAACCAGCGACCTTCTTGCTGTGAGGCGATCGTGTTACCCACTATGCCATCTAGACGCCCCCCAGACAATATATCATTTTCCAACTTTTCAAGATTAAAAGTTGTTGGAAGAAAGATTCCCAGAATGCGATTCAAAAGCCTAAATAAACGGGGGGAAATAATAAATTAAAAAATGAATTACAGAATACAGAAAACTGCAAATTTTTGTATATTTTTACAGTGTATATGTAATATAATACTGGTCTTTATAACGCTCTGGATTTCTTGAAAACAATCAGGGGTGGTCTCCATCGCAATCAAACTCCATGCATAAATGGGTCTGTTATTTTAAGATATAACGATGGAAATCACGACACAAAATTATAACTGTCATGAATGTCATAGTTCACAGACAACCACAGATCTCCACTCAGATAGATGGATGGATGGATGGATGGATGGATGGATGGATGGAAGGATGGATGGATGGATGAATGGATGGATGGATTGATAGTGTTGAGGTCTTTTCTTTCTTCAAAGACAAGCCAAGTCTGATGGTTTTGATTCCAGTTCTTTATTGTCAAGAACAAAGGAGATTATTCAGGAGACCCCTAGCAGCATCTCTGCCTAAAAAATCTGCCTCTCTGATGCCCCAGCCTGCTTATATCCTCTTTTGCAGCTGTTTTTCTTTTTCATTGGTTCATATTTGTCACACAGGATCAGAGATTGTTTCAACCCCCAAAATGGAACCTTCTACAATTTATGTCTTGTCCATACATATTGGACTGTTTCAATAGGTGTTTCCCCTTTTTTCATGCATTCCTTGTGACATCTTTGTTGTTTATTCAAGCCATCTCCTCTCTCTAACTCTACATAACTCCTTGGTTATTTTAATGGTTTATAATGGTATATTCTAATGGCATACAAAAAGTTTATACACATACAGTTTGGTTAAATAGGTTAACTTCATATTTGAAGAGTAAAAAATCCACTTCAATAGATAGATAATATTCTGTTCATTTATCTTTAAAATAAAACACATCATAGGATAGCTAATAAATCATTAGCAATAAGCATTATGGCCATTCAAAGAGTGCTTAAAGCTTTGAAAAAAGGAAAGTCAGGATACCAAGGTTACACAGGTTTGTTTCAGTAAAGTTATTCCATTACAAAATTATACAATGATCAAAATGACTACCTTGTTAATCTGCATGTTTACAATCACAAGTCAGTACCAACACTTTGTGCTTTACTTCACATCCAGAACAAGTATGTCACTTCAAATATCCAAATGTTCTTTCTAAATGTTCTTGTTGACAAGATGTGCTAATGTGGCTTAAGTGACCATTATCTCTAATGTAGACCAAGTGTCTGTACTTTGCACCTCGCTTAAACTAATCTAAGATGATTTAGCCAATATATCTTTTAATCTGGATAACTGATCTCTGGTTAATTTGGTTTTTCAGTTAAGTTTGTGAATCACATTACCATATATGGATAAATGAACTGATCTGAGATCACTCCGTGAACTTGTGATTGTTGTATAGGACAGCTCTATCATCCTCGCTATCATGATCAGGAATGCTGCAAGACTGGCTGACAGCAAGACAACAGCGGCCTCTAATTAGTATTCAGTTATCAGCCATGTGAGCAAACGACAACACTTGTAGTAAATGAAATAGTTTGTTAAATATTTCGCAAGAACTTTCCAAATTTGTACTACTTGTACAAGCTTCACACTTTCATGTGTCTAGAGTACATTTTTAGCCATTTATTTAGTTTTACTCTTAGTGACCATATTTAAGTTTCTTGATGTCATTGTGTAAGCCATAACTGGCTATTTAAACTGTTTTTAAAAAGAATAAAATGCTATTTGAAAAGCAACTATATCTCTTGCAATGCATCAAATTACCCACTTACCAGCTGTAAATGCTGCATGTGCATGACTCCTGTAAATTCTATATTATATCATATATATGTATTTAAAAGGTCCATATTGATCATTTAGTAGTATATACACTCACCGGTCACTTTATTAGGTACACCTGTCCAACTGCTTGTTAATGGAAATTTCTAATCAGCCAAGCACATGGCGGCAACTCACTGAATTTAGGCATGTAGACATGGTCAAGGCGATCTGCTGCAGTTCAAAGCGAGCATTAGAATGAGGAAGAAAGGGGATTTAAGTGACCTTGAACGCGGCATGGTTGTTGGTAGTATTTCAAATACTAAAAAAAGAGAAAATATCCAGTGAGCGGCAGTTCTGTGGGCGGAAATGCCTTGTTGATGCCAGAGGTCAGAGGAGAATGGCTAGACTGGTTCCAGCTGATAGAAAGGCAACAGTAACTCTAATAACCACTCGATAACCGAGGTCTGCAGATAAGTATCCAACATTGAGGCGGATGGACATGACAATGAGTTCAAATGGCCTCCACAATCACCAGAACTCAATCCAATAGAGCAGCTTTGGGATGTGGTGGAACAAGAGATTCACATCATGGATGTGCAGCTGACAAATCTGCAGCAACTGCATGACGCTATCATGTTAATATGGAGCAAAATCTCTGAGGAATATTTCCAGTACCTTGTTAAATCTATGCCATGAAGGATTAAGGCAGTTCTGAAGGCATAAGTGGGTCCAACCCAGTACTAGTAAGGTGTACCTAATAAAGTGGCTGGTGAGTGTATTAGTGCTTAAGTGAAGTTTATTCATAAACTAATTTCGAGAGGATCACGTGCTTATGATTTATCAAGGCTGGTCCCATATTTGCTTATCACTGTCTTCCAATCATATGAGTCCTAATCTACTAAATAGCCACAGTTTTTAGTTCATTTCATCTCCCAGTGGTTAGCACTGTGAGCCCCACAGCAAGAACACTGCCGGCCCTGGTCCCATAGGGCTGGTGGGTGTTTCTGTGAGGAGTTTGTTTGTTCTCCCCGTGTCCGCGTGGGTTTTTCCCGGGTTCTCCGGTTTCCTCCCACCATCCAAAGACATTCAACATACATAACAATCAAGCTTTGTCTAACCCCTTTTGTTCCCTTAGCTATCGCAGCCGGGGAGGTTCTGAGATCCACCGAGCTCAGGCTCCCCTCTCGCTCTGCCAACGGGAGAAAGCCCCGGGCTCGAGGATCCCTTGAGCTCGGGGCTCTCTCTCCCGGGACAGCATGCCAAACAAGCTTTTATAAATCATCAGCTAAGTGTGAACTCTTGAAAATGTACATTTTACAAAACTCTTCTCTTTGGATGCCTTGAAAAGATACTATGCCATGACATTTTTTGCACCTTATATTTCAGAGTGTAGATTATATAACAGTTTTAAATTACTTAAAAACTGTTTAAAAATTCTGATTAAAAAAGTTTACAATATTGTTATTTTACCAAATTTAATACAGCAAAAAATGTCAGCAGTACTTTAAGTAAAACGTTTTGCCTGTAATGGCAACCTAATCCTGTTTGTATGAAATGAGCCTGATCTCTAGCAGATTTGAGCTTACAGACCTGCTGCTATGACAACAACTGCTGGATGAGTTTTGAAGAATAAAACTATCCTGGATTGTGTCAAACCATCAATAATAAAATCCAGCTAACTGACTAATCCACGATGGACGAACATGTTATCCACTATTAATCTTTTCTGACATTCTGGCTGTGCAGGATTTGATTGTTTTATTGTTTCTGTCAGAATGTTGTGTAAAGGCTCCAGCTCTGCCCTGTTCCGGAAAGCAGCAGCTTATTTGCATTTAAAGCAACACACACATTTTTTTTTATCCTCAAATAAGGGCAAATTTGACAAGCTATAATAAATGATCTGTGGAGTTTTTGATCTGAGACATCACAGAAAGATTCTGGGGAAACCAAAAATTCATTCTACATCTTATGAAAAGGGGCATAAAGAGTCATCTTTAAATGATACCAACAACTGAATCAAAACCATACATATAGCTAAATACGATCTATAAATACGATTTGGGTAGTTTCTGTCGTTGAAATTTCTATCATCAGTTACTCATCCTTTACTTTTTCAAACCTGTTTGAGTTTCTTTCAGTTTTTGACACAGAAGAAAATATTTTGAAGAACGCTGAGACACTGACTTCCATAGTGTTTGCTCTTTTACTATGAAAGGCAATCGTTGCAGGTTTTCAGCTTTCTTCAAAATATCTTCTTTTGTGTTTAAAAGAAGAAAACTCATTCCAAAAACCACTTGAGGGTGAGTAAATAAATTAAATTTGCGTGAACTATCACTTTATTGTGATTGTGATTATTTAATTAAGAGTACAGAGATCATGTTGAACTTCTAACCCTAAAAACATCTGCAACTCCTTACACATAACATCAATGAAGGCTCATCTCTAGAGCTGACAGCTATACATGATAACGCAGTTATATCTGCTGTTACCTTAAGATATTATTGCTGACGTCTCATACATGGGCAATATGATGAGAGGACACTATCTTTTAGCACACATAATTCAGAGCCAGTAAAAACTGTTTGCTATCACTAACCTGCCATCGTTTCATTCAAATTCCCCATGGGCAAGTGCTGATATGGTACATCTCACAGATAAAATCCTGGCAGAGGCTTCTCAGCTAATGTGAGCATCTCATAAAAAAATGCAAAAAATAGATTTTCTCATCTGTACTGTCAAGAAAACACACATGCACACAGACACAGACTTGTTCCTATGTCATGCAGCGGACTCTTATAAACGTAATGATGTTTCTACACAAACCAGAAATTGTTCCCGTTTACCCATAAACCCAACACTTATAGGAAACAATCAGTATTTTAACCTTTTCTAAATACTTCATTCAGTGTGATTTATATGTAACCTCAATTTTGATTCCCACGGTGACACAAGTCCCAAGGTTTAAGTCCATGCTGGGATATAAAAACACATTTCACACACACATGCATACATAACACATAAATCATGAGTCACTTGTTTCTTGGTATTTTAGGATATTTTAAAATATACTGATGTTTTTCAAAATGTTTGTTGTTAAAATGGTATCTTATAATAATTTTTAAAGAGTTGTCATTAAATCAAAAAATACATTTGATTTAAATACAATTGTAATACAATAAATAATCAATTAATTTATATTTTATGCATCCTGATTATTTGAAGCTTGGCAAATTTTTAGCTAAAACATCAACAAACCTGCTGTGTTCATTAAAAATTATGTCTAAGTTGGCAAACAAATAAATACACACCAAAAATAATAGATAAATGAAAAACAGAACTCCCACACATTGAACTGAACCAGGATGAAAACGTATTTGCCTACATTGTAAGAAAAAAAAAAAACACAAAAAAAAAATCAAATTCTGAAAAAGTTCAACCACATTATTCGTATAGTTTTTAATACTGCCTACACGCGTACATGTTCAAGTTTACATGGTAACAAGTCAGGTTTGAGGAGTAAATGAAATGAAGCTGGACCAGATTTTTTTTTGCTAGTGTACATAGTAATTCAAATATTTCAAATACTTGGGGCTATCAGTATATCTGTAAGGTCATTTTAAGTTAACCCAATGTTTACTACTTTAAATAGTATTGAAATAATACAATTACAACTATAATACAAGCACACTGGTTTTAGCATAAACTTTACTTAAGGGCACTTTTGATGAAAATCATCTTTTGTAAGCTGTTTGGACAGAACTGTATGAAGGTATAGTGTGTCCACAGTCATATTGGGGTGATATAAACACAACAAGTCTCTTTTTTAAAAATTTCCTGACATTAAAATAGGACCCAAATCCCAGTGATTTTGAGGCCCACTGCAATGTTACATAGGAGTGCGAATTTCCCCACTCACCAAATTGATTGACAGGCACCATGTTTCTATAATAACATGTACACACATGACCACTTAACATTTTTTGCAAATAAACTGGATTTAAAATATTTGTTCTAACTCTCTGTGGTTTTTTTTATAAGTTTTATAAGTTTAAAACAGAGCATGTTTGTAATTAAGACAGTAAAATTGATATGTATTCTCAACCGCTACAATGACCACAGCCGCATGGTGTCAGTAAACGCTAATATGCCTATGTGTGTGTGTACTGCAAACGGCATTTGTGTGAGACTCATCATTTCAAAAAGGCTTGAACAAACTCCACTGCAAATACATCAAATAAACTTGCTTAGTATTTTTGACTAATGAGCTGTATTTCAGCCTCATCCGTGTCGGTCTCTGTCACTGACTGCTGTTTATCTAACGTAATGCATGATGAGATGCAGCTCATTTTCATTTAAAGCCACAGGCTACAAAAACAGCTACAGTATACTCAGCTAAATGGGCAAATTCTGGAAGCTATAATAAATAGTCTGATGGTATTTTGCGCTGTCTGGAGACAGCAAAGGCTTATCTTACATCTCGTAAAAAAGTAAAAATAGGTGCCCTTTAAGTATACAATGAACTTATGTTTTATAAAGATGTTCGCTCAACTGGCTCAGTTGGCAGTGGCATCAGTCAGCATGGCTCAGGTTGTTGTTTTGATGGCGTGCGGGTGCTTTCCATTCCTCTCTCAGCATGACTGAGACATCATCTCTCTATGGGTGGCTCCATATCAGCAGGAGGGAGTGCGATTTTTAGTCCGTGCCTCTGCCAAATCAAACTCTCCATTCTGTCCGCCCAAACATGGAGAGAGAAAGGAAAAAGAACAGATAACAGGGATATTCACTCATCTCTGTGATGACTTTCGAAAAAACTTTTATGAAAATCTGCTTACATTTCTTCTTGATTTACTGATTTTTCTTCACACACCAGTGTGACAGACTTACATAATTATTTGTAAATGGAAGAGGCTTTTACTCAAATCTATGTTGACCTTTCATTTTGACCATTATAAATGTTTTATTTCTCTCTCTTTCTCAGGGAGGGATGTCGGTGGACTCCATCTCTGATATGGTGGAGAGTCAGTCCAGATTACTAGAAGCTCTGCAGCTCTCTCACCCCAATGAGCTGGAGATGAAGAAGGCGGCGGGTCGCACACAGGCCAAACTCAGTCTCAACCCAATCTACAGGCAGGTTCCCCGCGTGGTGGAGCGTTGCTGTAACCACATACAGACCTACGGTGAGCAGCAAACAGCATTACAGTACAACACACCACTGGATTTGATTTGGCACAGGAAGCTTAATTCATAGCTTACATTATTCAGTTAGTTATGTCTATTCTTACACACTGTATGTCAAGTTTTACAAACACATTTTGAGATGAGTATGTGAAATGATTGAGCACGGCTGGCCTCTCATCCGTAATCAGCAATGATCTAATCAGATTGATTCAAGCTTACATTATAGAGACCAAGACTGTGTCCGAAACGGCATACTTCCATACTATATAGTATGCTAAAATCAGTATGCGAGCCGGAAGACTTACTACTTCCGGCGAGATTCTGGAGTGCGCATCCCATGCACGCTGCGCTATCCCATGATGCCCCCCGAGCGAATTTATGAATGGGACTAAAGCGACGCAATTTATGCAGGTAGGTCACGTGACCATGACAAAATGGCAGATGTAGTACGTCTGAATTCCATTCATACTTTTCACGTTCATACTGTATAGAACAAACTTTTCTAACGGCCGAGTAGTAGGTTTAAATTCAAATGCAGTACCTACTGAGAAGTAGGTGGTTTCGGACACAGCCCAATTTCACCCTACTACCTGCTCTTCGTTTTGGAAGAATCCCCCCTTCCACCCCATCTTCTCTTTTTCCTCGCTTTACCAGGGGGAGCTCTCAAGACCTACCTGATCTCGGACACCCTTACATGCTTATTGACCAGACGGGAGCCCTGGGCTCAAATATCTCCAAGCTCAGGGTTTTCTCCCGTAACAGCATACCAAACTTGCTCATAGCTTCAAGCAATGTCTAAGTGTGAACTCTTGAAATTTAATATTGTACATTTTTACCTTTTTAAGAACACAAACATCATACAATTATTTTTCCCCTTAGATCACTATGGAATAATCAAAGTTTCAATCAGTAAACATTTAATAATAATTTCACAACCCTCTCTCACGTGCTGTGCATGCTATTTCAAACCAAATATTTAGAGTAGCATGTTAAACAACATAGGGAGCGCCTCACGGGCTGTCATTGTTCAAAAATGACCCAATGTGAATATAAAACCAACTTCACCTCAGTAAAGCAGGCTAGGTGGAAAAGCGTTGTTTACTGATGTTCTGTTGTTGAACTAAATAAAACTCTACATTATTGATGCTGTAAAAGGACCTTATGAAACTGAAAATAGTCACATCAGTCTTTTGCTAAGAGATTTCAGTGGCTGAACAACACTTACAAGTTAACCCATTCCTAACAACAACACAATCTACATCAGCTTTGTGTGAAGCTAAATAACTTTTAAAACAGAACATTACCTGTCTAAAAGAAATACTTCAGCCATGGTGTCATCCTTTGGCCAGCGTGCAAAACTAACTTCATTATTGATTCAGGATTTTAAAAAGTTTTAATTAAGCATTTGTTTTGCTCTCTCTGTCTCTCAATAATGTCCAGCTGCAGGTGAGGTAAACGTGCGTGCCTGCAAATTGGTGGATCTGTATGAATGGCTGCAGATGTTCAAACTTACATTTGTTGACAGACAGTGTGTGTGTGTGTGTGTGTGTGTGTGTGTGTGTGTGTGTGTGTGTGTGTGTGTGTGTGTGTGTGTGCAGTCCTTTACTGACAGCTGTGTGTGTGGATCTTGTCGGAAAATATGGCAAAAAAAGTTATACATGACGCTGTTTACTGATCGCAGTGACTTCAATAGTGCCACTAATATCTGCATACTCCACATTTCTTAATTCCATTTCTGTTTATTTCAGTTATGACTTTAGTCGGATCAAGGTGACCAAAAATCGCTTTTTCAAGCCTATTTAGGCCTACAGTTCAAAATTCATGTTTAACTGAATAAACAGTTAGTAAACACAAGTACATTTTACTGAACTTTATTTATTTTCATCACTAATTATCAAAATAGAACAGTTTCTCATGCAGTTTGTGATGCATTTTGGAAACAGGAGATGAGCCCCTGCTTAATGCACCACCTGGCTTGAGAAACCCATTCTCAAAGACGTATTATTTGGGTAGCAGTAACACAAATTCTGAATGCCTTTGGCAGCATTCATATGAGCCATTTTAATCTAGATTAAATTCAAGATTAATCTAGATAAAAAAAAAAAAAATTATTCTATGCCCACCTATAATATAAACACATTTAGATCATTTACTTTAATCATTACTATTGAAATGTGAAGAGACGTTCAACCAGCACAACAAAAAATGTTTCTGAAGACAATCACCTACTGCACCTTTAATGGTCATCAGCACCTTAAATGATGAAAGTTTTTAATATTTTGATAAAACAAAAATATGAACATTTATATGTATTTATATATGTATTCAATTATCTTTGCATCAATTTACAAAAAAAAAACTCACTCTGCGAGGTGTTTCTAATGCAGCTTTTAGAGACTGGACAGAAAAATTGACATGATTTTCTCCTCTGGCTGCTGTCATCAGTCTCACACAAATTTTTTTTCCTTTTTTCTGGCAGCCTTAATAACACCATTGTAGAGTTTTTCTTTCATTATTTCAGCAAATTGGATTGTAAAAAAAATATTTGTTGTACTCTCCCATTCACTGCGCTCTAAGTTTACATAACTATCACAATTCCTGCTACTGAAAAACACGGAAATGTGAAAAGGGTCCTCCTAGTAATATTAAAGTAAACAATTAATCAAAGTTAATCCACTGAAAAAAAACAGTTTTCATAATCTCGAATCAAATTTTACGTCAGTAAATCTTATGTCAGTCAGATGACTTGGGTGGAATATGCTTAGCCAGGCCCTTTTAAATGTTAGTTTGCAGCGAGTAAAAGATGAGAGGTGGAGCTCAAAAATAAAACCCTGCATCCTACTCAATATTTCTTTTCGGTTGGAAATATGTCAATGTACATCACACAAATAAAAGTCTTTAACAATGTTCCGTTTATGCAGTCTTTCACAGGCATAGAGAACACCTGGTTTATATTTGGTGTTTATGTTATCATTAAAACAAAACAAACAAACAAAAAAACACCTAAATGTCCATAATTGTGCCAGGAATATATTTTTAACCAAGAAATTGCTTAAAACTTTTGCTAGTGTTCAGATTTAGGGGTAAATGACACTTTTAACCAACATGAGCTCATTCTGAAAATGTAGCCCTTTATACATTTCTAGAGATTGAGAATTATGAAGCCAGAGGAACGTTTTGCTGCATTTCATCATACCGCTCTGTGGCGGTATGACACCATTTCCTTTTTTAGCTTACCAGCTGACCGATTACCTCCGTATGGATGGCTTCCTCGCTGTTACCAGTTCGTCCAGTAGCTCGACATATACGATGGCAGCCGTGCAAATGGCACACGCAAGAGAAATTTGAGATCTGAAAAAGCATACACATCTGCCTCTGGTGGATTCACGAACACAAAAACTGAAAAAAACTTAGCTCCTGGGGCAAGTTTAGTGATCTGCAGAAATGTATACTGGTCTACGTAATCAGAATGAGCTTGGGTTGCTTTTAACAACATTTAATCCTAATAAAGTGTCTACTTAAATGTTAATTCCGTGAAGTAACGGAGTAAGTTGCTCTATTCTGCTCTATTCAGAAGTTGCTCTATTCAGCCATTGCGCATATGAGATACTTTTAAGTAAAAGGAAAAACATTAATGTACTTAAAGGGACGGTTTACCTAAAAACTTAAATTTGCTGTTAACTTAGCCACCCTCAGGCCATCCAAGATTTAGGTGACTTCTTTCTTTTTCAAAACATTAAAGAAGAATTTTAAATGAATCTGTCTGGGTTAACCATCATGTTAATCTGACCTCTTTAAGGTATATAAAAACGAATAAGTGATCATACTAAGTGTTATTATATATACGACTTCTTGCTGACAAAAGAGATGGGGAAAAAAAGATTTAAAATAATAATTAAGTTTCGCCAAAGTCCCTTTAAGGCAAGTCATTTCACTCAGGGGCCATCTTCGAAACACCTCTCGGGCAGTATGCTCAGGCATTCTGTCTGAATGGGAAAACATCAAATTCTCCGAAACTACTTGCCAAGATTACGATTACAATTCATATTATGAATAACCAATAAAAATAAACAACAACTGTTTCTTTAGTTTTATTTCTAAATGTTCGTATCACACAAAATCTGCAGAAACTCACGTCTGGTCCGAGCCCCTGCCCTGGAGAATTGTCTTCTATAGCAATCGCTGATTGGCTCCTGTACTAGAAAGCGGGTTTTATTGACCATAAATCGATTGCTGATTGGCTCCTGTACTAGAAGACGGTCTTCATTTGCCATATTGACAGTTACACTTTTTCCTATTCAAAAGTATACGAATGACTTGTCTTGTGTATTCTATGGTGTTTAGTTTCGCTATACGCGATCAAATGATTTGTGTAATATAACATTCAGAAATAACATTAAGACCATCTCGTAGCTTTAGACCACAAAACAGCAGCCACAAAGTGAAGTATTTTTTTTCTGAAGTGGAGGTAGGTCTTCTGTGATTTCTGGATATAAGATTTTGACATTGTCAGGATATATACAGTATGATGTCAGCATCAGGATATGATTTCGACAGAATATTCTCAGGGTTGTTCGTTTAATTTATGGCACAAAACTAGCTATTGGGCTGATACAACTTTATTCTTTGTTATTGTACCGATTTATTTCTATGCGTATTATTTATTATATACATATATTGTTTTGAACTAGCAAAAATTGTAATAAAAGTCACTTTTTTATATCTAGAGTTCATCAAAAAGATGTCATATCCGAACTAGTAGAGATCATTTATTCATTTTCCTTCGACTGAGTCCCTTTATTCATCCGGGGTTGCCACCGCAGAATGAACCACTAACTTATCCTGCATATGTTTTACACAGCGGATGCTTTTTAGATGACCAACCTATACAATATATTGTTTTAAATTAAATTAGTGAATATCAGTGAAGTCAATAGTTGTCATTAAGCAGTATCTATGTTTGTACTGTCCTTTAAATTAATAGACTTTAATAAAATAAAAAAAACGATCATTTGAAAACTTCAGGTGATAAAAATATTGCTTTGATAAATATCTCGAACTAAGCATAGCATGTTAGAGCTACTGGATGTGAAATAAATCAACCTTTTATCCCCCCTCCCAGAAATTTAGATGAACTTATCTGAACACATCTTCTGCCTCATACTATTACACACCCTGCTTGGGTTACGAACAGAAGGTCAGTCAGATGAGATGACACCCAAAAAAAACACTAAAATAGATATAAAATCAGCACAGTGAAATATGATCCCAACACTTGTTTACTATCTCTCTCTCTCTCTCTTTGTCTCTCTCTAGGATTACAAACTTTGGGGATTTTCCGTGTCGGCAGCTCCAAGAAAAGAGTCCGTCAAGTAAGTTTGTCAGTTCCAGCTGCTCTCTAGAGTCAGTTTACAGCCACTGCATTATAAACAACATTTGTCTCTCTCACATGTGACATGCGCCCCCTGTCTTTCAAACTAAAACTGCAAAAATATGGCATTGCAGAGCAAAAACCTAGGAATACACTATACACCAATAAATACACCATGTTTACCAGACCTATGTTTCCTGGTAGTTACATTACATTATTAAAATGTAAGAATTTGCATACTCCTACATGTCCCTTTTTTAGATATAAGTTTCACATATATCTGACATATGAGCTTTTTTAAGCAAAGAAAATAAGGAAGTATCATTTTATCACTGTTATCGCACTAGGAAATAGGGCTGCACGATATTGAAAAAATCTTATATTGCGATATTTAATTCTTTTTGTGATAAAATATTGTGATTTGAATACAGTTTCACAAGATGGTGTGGATAGATCTATTTGATGGTTTTCTGGGGAGCCTAACAGTATTCAGGTACAGAATTTGAATAATTAAAAAATGCTTCTTACTTTGTCTCATTTCTAGTCCAAATATCTAAAAATTCTTAGATCATGTAAAAATATTGTTTTGTTTTCAACTGCAGAAGAAATAAGTGAATATTAAGAGTTTTTGCTTAAAACAAGTAAAATGATCTGCCAGTGTGATTACAAAATAATCTTGTTTTTGCTTTGAAATGTAGATATTTGGACTAGAAACAAGACAAAATTTTTAAGTAAGAAAAGAATTATTAGCCCCCTTTGAATTTTATTTTATTTTTTTTTATATTTCCCGAATGATGTTTAACAGAGCAAGGGCATTTACTGTGATTTACATTTATCACAGTATGTCTGATAATATTTTTTCTTCTGGAGAAAGTCTTATTTGTTTTATTTCATCCAGAATAAAAGCAGTTTCTAATTTTTTTAGACCATTTTAAGGTCAAAATTATTAGCCCCTTTAAGCTATATTTTTTGATAGTCTACAGGACAGACCATTGTTATACAACAACTTGCCTAATTACCCTAACCTGCTGAGTTGACCTAATTAACCTAGTTAAGCCTTTAAATGTCACTTTAAGCTGTATAGAAATGTCTTGAAAAATATCTAGTAAAATATTTTTTTTACTTTCACCATGGCAAAGATAAAATAAATCAGTTATTAGAAAAGAGTTATTAAAATTATTATGTTTAGAATTGTGTAGAAAAAACCTTCTCTCCGTTAAACATAAAATGGGGGGGGGGGGGATAAACAACAGGGCTAATAATTCAGGGGGGCTAATAATTCAGATTTTATCTGTGATAAAAATTCAGATTTTAACCATATAAATGCAGTAATTAAATACAATTCTGTGGCTCCTGGTCAACTATAATTTAGACTCAACTTACATGTATTGAGATGTGACTATTGCGGATGCACGCATTGCTATATTGACATTGTTGCCAATCAAAATCATACATATGCCATACATAATAATGATCCTGAGTGTTGTAGATAACAGTCGCTGGTATGCTCTGATTCACATAATTTTTTGGAGTTCTGTTTAAACAAGATTTATACTAGAGGAAATAATGGTGTTTGAGACTTATTGTATGTAATATGCATGTACTGAACACTTATTATTAAACTAAGCCTAAGTATGGGGCTGCATAATTAATCAAAAAGAGATTATGATCTTCATTCGACCCCTCACATGATCTTAATTCTGCTTTTCTGCGATTCAGACGAATATATTTTCAAAGTCAAGAGAGAAGTGTAAAGGCGGTTGCACAAGTCTTCACATTGTTTTACATAAGATGCTCAGCAACATGGACACCTTCAAATTGCATTGAAAGTGTCTCATATACTGTATTTATAAGGTATAATTCACTCAAAAATGTAATTTCTGTCTTCATGTAATGATGTATTCACGGCTGTGAAGTCACGCATGAGCTGACGCACTGTTTGTTTACTACCGTGAGGATGCACATGTGCCCGCCAGGTCAACTTTAGTGAACAGAATCTGCATAGGCTGTGAATAACAGGTAATAAAGTAGCAAATAACGTTCAGTTTGTTACAAACTGAACTCAAAGTGACGGCAGCCATGACATGAGCGCACTCAGCTGTGAAAGTGATACCGAATTTGATCCGAATTTGAGACCGTTTTTTCTTTCATAGCAAAGAGTGTTGTGCATGAGAATAAATGTTACTGGGTCAGTATAACTACTCTAGCCTATATAATGTTGAATATAATGCAAGAGGGAATCTAATAATGACAAATGTCTCATTTTACCAGTGAATTTTTTTTTTTTAAATGTTCAATGACAGATTGCAAGCATATGTCTCAAACATAATAATTCATTTTTAGAATTATGAGTAATTATATTCTGATGACATCACTGTGAAATAACAATGTGACTATAAAAAATTTAGCATTTTAACCAACAGTAGAGCTACATAGGTCTATTATTATTATTGATGTTTTACCATAATGTGTTTGAGAATTAACAATAATAATAGCCTTCTCATATCATCTTTATTTTACATCTACAGAATCATGAGAAAATCGTGATCTTGATTTTAGGCAAACAAAAAAAATTGTGATTCTCATTTTAGCCAGAATCGTGCAGCCCTACCTAGGTATAATGCATTTTTTATTCAATGGCAACTTTAAAGTGACTTTTAACTAATTTTGAGAAAGCTCTAGCACCCATTTTTCTTGTGCATACCTGATGCAGTGTATCTGTTTTTATTTGATAAGTACTTTTTTCACTTCTCTGGTTCATGCTAGCATCGCTTGCAATAGGTTTCCTTCTCCCTTTCTGAAAATGTTTGATGTGCACTTCAGTAAACCCACAGAAAGCAGGTTAATGTGCTGGACAAACTCACATGCAGGGCAGAAATCTAGCTGTAATAATCAGTTTATGCTTTTCATTTTTTTACCTTCCAATAAAGGAAAACAAGTTAGCTTGTTCACCATATGACAATATTCATTGTCATCTTCATTCAATCATTAATTTTTTCCAGCTTAGTCCCTTTATTAATCAGGGGTTGCCACAGCGGAATGAACCGCCAACAATTCCGGCATATGTTTTACATGCCAACCCACACCAACACGGGGAGAACATGCAAACTCCACACAGAAATATCAATTGGTCCAGCTGGGACTCAAACCAGCAACCTTCTTGCTGTGAGGCGACAGTGTTAACCTCTAAGCCACCTTGCTGCCTTCATTGCCATCCTAATAAGTATAATCAGAGTATAAATGTGCATGTAAACTCAATCAGACTCTAACCTGTACAGCGAATGTCTCAGATACTCTTCATAGCATGTGCAGCGTCTTGCTTTAATAGCTGACCTCAAACTGCCTGTGATTTGTGTGTGTTTATTGTACTGTGTTTAGACAGGAACAGGAAACCTGGGGTACTTGAGTCTCGTGTGTGGTGGCAGTATGTTTGATTGTGTTTCATCCCCCCGTGTCCGTGTGTGTTTTCAGCTGCGCGAGGACTTCGACAATGGGATAGACGTGGTGTTAGACGAGGAGCACAGTGTTCATGACGTGGCTGCATTACTGAAGGAGTTCCTGCGGGACATGCCGGACCCCCTCCTGCCACGAGAACTGTACCGGGCCTTCCTGCACGCTAACCGTACGAGCATATGATCATAAAGAAAAGCTCAATAAGTTCGAAGAGATCATAAACTGATTTTTGTTTTATGCTCTGAGGTCCACATTTAATAAGATTTGTACATAATAAACATTATAATTTAGAAATAAGGCTTTATTCTATAGAAGACTTGGAAATACACTCACTGGCCATTTTTTTAGGTACAACTGTCCAACTGCTCGTTAACACAAATTTTAATCAGCCAATCACATGGCAGCAAACTGAGCATCAGAATGGGAAAAAAGGTGATTTAAGTGAACATGGCATGGTTGTTGGTTGAAGACGGGCTGGTCTGAGTATTTCAGAAACTGAGACTACAATTCACACTGGCTCACCAAAACTGGACAAAAGAAGATTGGAAAATTGTTGCCTGGTCTGATGAGTCTCGATTTCTGCTGCAACATTTTTATGGTACGGTCAAAATTTGCCGTCAGCAAGATGAAAGCATGGATTCAGTGTTGTTGCTGATCATGTACATCCCTTTATGACCACAGTGTGTCATCTTCTGATGGCTACTCGCTTGTAACGCGCCATGTCATAAAGCACAAATCATCTTAGACTGGTTTCTTGAACATGACAATGCGTTTACTGTACTCAAATGGCCTCCAGAGTCAGCACAACCCAATCCAATAGACCTGCTTTGGGATGTTGTGGAACAAGAGATTCACATCATGGATGTGCAGCCGACAAATCTGCAGCAACTTCGTGATGCTATCCTGTAAATATGGACCAAAATCTCTGAGTAATTTTTCCAGTACCTTGTTGAATCTATGCCATGAAGAATTAAGGCAAAAGAGGTAAAAACTGGCACTAGTAAGGTGTACCTAATAAAGTGGCCGGTAAGTGTACATGCTCATCCTTTAAGAATGGATAACATAAAAAAATTGCTCATACAAACTAACAGCAATTGTTAAAAGTGGTTAAAAAACATGACAAAATTGCTGTCAGGCTTTTTCTATATTCTACATAGCATCATTTAATGTGTTTTGCAAGTTTCTGCACAAATTTGACTCTTTGTTTGTAAATTCTGCTCACCCATGTTTTATATTCTTACAGTAGACTTTCTATTACAATTAAATGATACTAAAGCTAAACAAGAGATAGTGGGGTGCTTACTCAAACACAGAGACCTCTTATGTCATACTGATATAAAATCCGAAATGAGTCATTTTGGCAGCTTGGTTTCAAAAAGATGACTTTAAACGTACAAGAAAGTTCAGAGCGCTGTAACTTAGAGGATGTTTTTTTTATACAACATGACCTCTTATATCACAAAAAGATCAAGGGAAATGTGATTTCTCAGTTCATGACCCCTTTAAAGGATTAGTTCACCCAAAATTATTCAGTAATCATTACTTACCATCATGTCTTTCCAATCCCCTGAGACCTTCGTTCTTCTTTGGAACACAAATGAAGATATTTTAGATTAAATTCAAGGGCTTCCTTTTCCTCCATAGACAGCAACAGTGCAGAGATGTCCAGAAAAGGACTTTGTCGAAAGATTACATGTGATTTCAGTGGTTCAACTGTATTCATTCATTCATTCATTTTCTTTTCGGCCTAGTCCCATTATTCATCAGGGGTCACCACAGTGGAATGAACCGCCCACTTATCCAGCATATGTTTTTACATAGCAGATGCCCTTCCAGCTGCAACCCAGTACTGAGAAACACCCTCTCACATACACGCATACACTCTGGCCAATTTAGTTTATTCAATTCACCTATAGCACATGTGTTTGTACTGTGAGGGAAACATGAGCACCCGGAGGAAACCCACGTCAACACCAGGAGAACATGCAAACTCCACACAGAAATGCCAACTGACCCAGCTGGGACTCGAACCAGCAACCCTCTTGCTGTGAGGTGACAATGATAAACACTGAGCCACCGTGTTTTGTGTGGCAAAACAAATCTGTAAATACAACAAAGTATACAATTAAGTGTATGTTTACTACAGGCAGTACAATGTCTTGCTATTCCAGTCAGCAGTGCAACACGCAACCAACACCCTAATCTGACTTTGAAGACATTTTGGTGAACAAATTGTATTTACAGCTTCAATTTGGCACACAAAATTGTTCTTAGAGCATCGTATGATTACAGTTGAACATCTGAAATGACGCGGAATATTTTGATTTTTGGGTCCTTTTCAATTATTTAGCTCTCAAAAATTCATCTAAAATATCACATGTTGTGTTCTGACAATAAACGAATGTCTTAGTGGATTGAAATTGCATGACGGAGAGTAATTAATAACATGCTTTTAATTTTTGAGTGAACTAACTCATAAACATTGCTATCATACAGGAATCTGGATACCCAGTTTAATTAGATAATTTCAGTAATATCCATCATTATTGAGCTCGGCTGTTATAAAATATGCTCATCTTCTAAGCTGTGTTGTGTTTGTGTTACAGTGCTGAGAGGGGCCGATCAGTTGTCATACCTGCAGCAGTTGTTGTACCTGTTGCCGCCCTGTAATTGTGACACTCTGCTGAGGCTTTTGACGCTTCTGCATACAGTACAGGAGAATGCAAACAGCTCCACTGGACCCAACAAGCAGGAGGTATGATCTGGGTTGTTGTCACAGTTTTAATTCAAAGTGCTTATGTTTTGATCCGGCCAAGTAGAAGAGCCTTTGAATTGATGGATGGGTGGATGGGTGGATGGGTGGATGGATGGATGGATGGATGGATGGATGGATGGATGGATGGATGGATGGATGGATGAATGGACGGATAGATTAATGGTTGGGTTGGTGAGTAGGTGGGAGGGTGGTTGGATGGATAAATGGATGGATAAATGGATGGTTGGTTGGTTGGTTGGTTGGTTGGTTGGTTGGTTGGTTGGTTGGTTGGTTGGTTGGTTGGTTGGTTGGTTGGTTGGTTGGTTGGTTGGTTGGTTGGTTGGTTGGTTGGTTGGTTACTTGGATGGTTGGATGGTCAGTAAGTTGGTTGAATAGATGGTTGTTTGGTTGCTTGGTCAGATGGATGGATGGATGATTGGTTGGTTTAATGGATGAATGGATGGATGGATGGATGGATGGATGGATGGATGGATGGATGGTTGGTTGGTTGGATGGTTGGTTGGTTAGAATTATATTACTCCAGCTGATAGGTGTGGGCCAGTAGGGGTCTTCTGCGCCTACTAGTAGAACCATTGGCCCATATCTATCAGCTGATAATGCCCATTCAATCAAGTGATAACTTTTGAAGTGGGTGCAGATTACTTTTGGATTACTTTTAGATTACTATTAACCCAACTTGTTTTTAACCATTAACATCAGAGATCTGTAAACATTAAAATGATTTTGTTTTGTCATATGAACTTAAAATCTCAAGAGGACAACACTACAGATTTCATTTAAAAAATATTTAATGTTTTAAATATTTTTTACATATCTCATGTAGTCACATTATACATTATACAGTGTTTTGTCCCCAAATTAAGACTCACGAATCACAATAATTAGTATTTCATTTGCATGACCTATTTGAACATTCAAATTCTAAATAATAAATTTTAAATAATTTACAGTTTTTTTGACTAATTTACAATCGTCTAATCCCCAAAATTTTACAGAATCTCATGCAATTATCACTATTTTAAAATGTATTATAATTCAAGTACAAATATTCCCTTTTTAGAACCTGTTTACATAACCCAGATTAAATGTAATGAGTATCAGTACTATCTTTATTTACTTTCTTCGTCAATTGTGACGAGCATTGCTCAAATCCTCAAGGCAGGATTGAAAACAATACGTTCCAGTCAGCCAACAAGCCATTGTCCTGTATCTGACAGTGACAGATTCAATAACAACAGTACCGAAGGAAACATGTCAACCCCTCACCACAAATGACTCTCATAAATGGCTGAATCAATTTTATTCTATCAAAACAAAATTCTGACCTGATTTTTGAATTGGGTTTGTTATTAGATTTCTGGTAATAAGATGACAGCAGCGAACCTGGCGGTGATCTTTGGGCCCAATCTCCTGCAGAAAGAGAGAGGATCAGAGAGAGAGCTCAGCCCTCAGGCTCTGGGTATAGAGGACAGCACCGCCGTCATCTCCGTCACCCTGATGCTCATACAAAACCACCAACATCTCTTTATGGTAAGACACCGGCATGAGCCCAGCTGAGCAATGATAGAGAGCAGAGAATGAATGCTATTAAAATATTGGGTCACTTTGACATTTTCTTTTAAGGGTGTTTTACCCTAATAGTAAGTTATATTAATTGTCATTCATGGACTATAAATTTAAAATGTGTGATTAATTTGATGTGAGAAAACATTACATTAATGTATGCACCAGACAGAAAGCATGGTGTGTTAAATCTCTATAACCTAATGGATGAACATTTAGCTGAGAAAAAAATGTAAATGCTTACTATGCACTTTGACCTCTGACTAACAAGCTATGAGTGTCCAGCAGTTGAAGCCACAAACCAAACTAGTGCAGCACTGATGGAATAGATACAATGTGAGCATGTATTTAAAAACGTAACATTCTGTAGTGCATTTAGTTGTTGTTTAAGGCCATTTGCTGATTTCAGCCATCATGTAGTGAATCTCATCAGTGATCTGCATCTAAACAGTCTCTCTGTCATTGCATGTAATGATTTTGTGTCTTTTTGGACACCTTTAATGCTTTTAAATTGTACATGTTGCTAAATTTATAAAGCACCCATGTCTTGAGATTGGTCTGTCTGATGAGATTTTTCAATGAACAGTTTGACTGAACGAGAATCATGAGATTGATTATTTCTATTCAGCTAATTTTCCATAGACGAAAAAAAATATAAACAAATACAATAGTGATTGCATGCTGAATTGAGTAGTAAAAGTACAGATACAACACTAAAATGTGCTCAAGTAAAACTAATAGTATACGCTTTTTTTTAACAGCTTAGTAAAGAACAATTCTTGAGAAAAAAATACTGAATCTTTGAGTTACAAATACTTCAATACAATTGACTTGTTTTTCTCAAGAATTGTTCTTTACTAAGCTGTTAAAAAAGCGTCTACTTTTAGTTTTACTTAAGTACATTTTTAGTGCTGTATCTGTACTTTTACTACTCATTTCAACATGCAATCACTATTGCAATATGTTTATATTCAATACTTCAATATAATTTAGTAGTTTTGTATTTGTAATTCATTAATTTACACCACTGCATGTAAGCAATTAAATAGTTTATTTAGACCAAAGTAAATAGTAGTGAGAATGTCAGAGTTGTTTTCAATACATTTCTGACACCTTTGTAGGATTGTTCGATTATTTAAGTGGTTATAGCTGTAATAGTGCGTGTTGTTCTATGATGTGCAGGTGTCTGCAGAGCTGCAGCAGGAGGTGCTCATGAGCCTCATTCAGACGGATCCTGATGTCATTGACTATCTGCTGCGCAGGAAACTCAGGTCAGCGTCCTGATTCATAGTCATCTAAGACAAGATTCACATGCAGTATGTGACCAGTCTTATGTTGAAAGAGTATATTTTTGGTAATAGCTTAAAAAAAATTATTTTATAGGGCAAAATTATTTTCCCAATAATGGGTTGTTGCTGGAAGGGCAACTGCTGCATAAAAAATATGCTGGATAAGTTGTCGGTTCATTCCGCTGTGGTGACCACAGATTAAAAAAGGGACTGAGCCGAAAAACAGTGAATGAACAAATGACTAGGTCCATAATTGATTTTTATTTAATGCCTTAATCATTAGGATATTAAGGTGATCGTGTTCCATAAATATATTTAGTAAATTTCCTACCGTAAACATATCAAAACAATTTTGATTAGTAATGTACATTAGTTAGGATACTTTAAAGGCAATTTTTGCAGTATTTTGAACCTTCGGATTCCAGATTTTCACATAATTGTAGCATGGCTAAATATTGTTCTATAACTGTAAAACAGAAATGTTTCTATTAATATCTATACAATTTTAAATCAGAGGTTACACCAGACTGTAAAAAAAACTAATCAGTAAGTCATGCCAATATGTTTTTTACATTACTCTAACTCAGGGGTCAAAAATCTTGTTCCATGAGGTCTGGTGTCCCTGCAGGGTTTGGTCCAACTTGCCTCAACACACCTGCTTGGGTGTTTCAATAGGCTTGTTTGAGGTGCGCCTCGCCTTGGCTGCATTGTAAACGAGAGCAGGCGTGCGCAATAAGAGGAGGGCTCAAAAATTACATCAGAAGTCGAACACCTGCTAAATCTCGCTGTTTAGCCACCTGGAAACGTCACCAGTGGCGGAGATCTCGTTCGCGTTTTTTATCGCAGACGAATGACCTCATGAAAAAATACTATGGTGATTTATAATAAATATTATTGCATTTTGAACATGTTTTTTCAGTATTGGGTTGTGTTTATAGTTGTTGTGATACCAGAGAAACTATAAAATTTAAATAGGCTATTTTATAACATGGTTCAAAAGCACTACAGTATACTGTACATTACTATAGTATTTTTAATATGGGAGTGGATGCAATAGAAATATCACAGTTTTTACAAAAAAAAATGGTTCAGAATTACAGAAGATGAACAGCTCATTAAGTAAAAGGGTGTATTTAAAATGTAATTCTGTATATTCAACAAACGTTAAAAGAATAACAAAATAAACAGCTTATACAGCAAGAAAACTTTCAAGAAACCTAATTTGGCTACATTATAATAGAAGTAGCCATAGCAAGATGCTTTTGAGTGACGGGTCATGACAAATGTTTGTTTGACAAATAAATTCTTAGGGGGTTAATTATATTGACAAGCTTATTAGGTCTATATAAACTGATATTATTCCAGCCAGACTAAAATAAACAGCCCAAGACTTTCTCCAGAATAAAAACTATTAGACTGCAGGAAAAACTGTGAAAATATTCTTGGTCTATTAAACATTACTTTTGACTTCACATACATACATACATACATACATATATATATATATATATATATATACACATATGTGTGTGTGTGTGTGTGTCTTGTTTAGTACACCCTTTTCACTTCTCATATGAAACCACACAAAGATGAGGCATAATGACAAAACAGTCTGATTACCTTTGTATGTCTGAATACTGTATATGTATATATTGGATTGACTTTCATTGAATAACGCTGCATAAAAATTACAATACAAAATTCACACAAACATACAAAAAGTGAAAATGACAACAAACAGGACTTAAAACTGAGAGAGAAATAAAATACAGCACACACACATCCTAATGATTTATTAGTAACATTTAGTTATATTGGATAGGTCACGTTATGTTTTACAAAGACGTGTTTTGTTTTTGTTTGCTTGTAAATCTAAATAAATAACCATATGTAATGCTCTTTATGACTTTTTTTAATTATCAACGAAAATACAAAAATAAGGTATTCAACAAATCCAGGTATAAACCTTAGTAAAACAAGATAATAAAGTGTAATGTGTCAGTCTCATCCAATCAGCATTAAGCTGTGTCGTCAGCCAGTCGTTTCCCATCATGCTTTTGGTAACGCAGTCTTTTGAGAGCAACTGCGGCCGACTGCTCTATCCAAGGTACCCGCCTCGCGATCGCGAGAGTTTTTTGGCGCACGTCAGCGTGACATCAGAGCGAGGCGAAGGCAAGGCGGACACATTTCTAACCGGCATGCATCTTGCGGTGATCACCGGTGATCGATTCTGCGCAGATTTTGGCCAAGTCAAACGAGCCTAATTATACCTAGCAAGACCTTGATTAGCTTGTTCAGGTGTGTTTGATTAGGGTTGGAGCTAAAATTTGCAGGACACCGGCCCTCCAGCAACAGGTTTGGTGATCTCTGCTCTAACTCATCAAAAGAGTTAAAGCAAGATAACTTAAGTTTTGAAGTTATACAAGATTTAATGATTCTTAAGTAAAATCAGTGTATTGTAAGTTAAAATTACTTGTAAAGTTTATTTAATTTAACTTCAATTTCAGGTAGAAACTCACTCAAGTCCACTGTGTTAAATGTGATTTTGTGTGTGATTTACAATGCTTTATGGGATTGTCATTCTTTGCCACATTACAACAGTTAACTTCATATTCTTCTGGTGCGTTCACATGCCATGTCTTACTACAGTAATATTGAGATGTCAACTCATGATGTTTTGCTTGGAGCCATTAAGGTCCTCTTACTTTTTCTGTTGTAATACTTTAAGTTTTAGAGTTTACAAGTTTAGAAAAGGGGGGCCATCATGGTGGCGCAGTGGGTAGCATGATCGCCTCATAAAAAGACAGTTGCTGGTTCAAGCCCCAGCTGGGTATTTCTGTGTGGAGTTTGCATGTTCTCCCCATGTTGGCGTGGGTTTCCTCCGGGTGCTCCAGTTTTCCCCCACAGTCCACAAGACATGGGGTACAGGTGAATTGGGTAAGCTAAATTGTCTGTAGTGTATGTGTGGGATTGAGTTTGTATGGATGTTTCCCGGTGTTGGGTTGCGACTGGAAGGGCATCTGCTGCGAAAAAAATATGCTGGATAAGTTGGCGGTTCATTCCACTGTGGCCAACCCTGATTAATAAAGGGACTATAAGCCAAAAAGAAAATGAATGAATAATTGAAGTTTAGAAGAATAGAAAAGGAGATTTGGGGTCAGTTTTTTAGACAATGACACTGGATCATGTCCACATGGATGGAATATTGTTGTGGTATCTCAGTGTTTAACTATTGTTGTTCTATTGTTGCCTTGATGACTTGATTGAAAGTCATTTAAATGTAATAGTACTTAAATATACAGGCACATTCAAATGCAAACATTAGGTGAAGTTTCACAAACTAATTTTGAGAGGAGCACGTGATATGGTTGACTGCAGCTGGCCACTCATCTACACGCATTGGCTAGCCAATCAGATTGATCCAAACTCACTATAAGTAGCCTAGTTAGAACTACTCCCTTATCTTCATTTTTTTCGAAGAAACCACCCATCCTCCTTTCCTTCTCCTCCTTTCCTCTTTTACCAGGGGGAGCTCTCAAGAACCACTTGATCTCGTACTCCCCTCACATGCTCTATGGACCAGGCGGGAGCCCTGGGCTCAACTATCTCTGAGCTCAGGGTTCTCTGCATGCCAAACCTGCTAACTTGCTAATAGTTGTCAAACAATATCTAAGTGTGAACTCTTGAAATTAAATTTGATTCTATAGAAATTGGTACCTAAACACAATCAAACTGCTTGCTGACAATCAAATTCAAGATTCTTGGGTGTGTGTGTGTGTGTGTGTGTCCCACAGCATTTTATATTACACAGACAAGAATGCTTTTTACTAGTTAGAATGGTGTAATTATGATAATTATGCCATGAACACACCTTTGACTTTCAAATTTCAAATAGTCTTTTTTATTTAAATAAAATGGATGCCCTTCCAGCTGCAACCCAACACTGGGAAACAGATTCATGCGTGCACTCATAGACTAAGGCCGATTTTGTTTACCTAATATCACCTATAGCACCTATTGAACTGTGAAGGAAACCAGAGCACCTGTAGGAAACCCACACAAACACGGGGAGAACATGCAAACTCCACACAGAAATGCCAACTGACCCAGCAGGGACTCGAACCAGCGACCTTCTTGCTGTGAGACAACAGTGCTAACCACTGAGCCACTTTAAACCACTGTGCCGCTTTAAATATAATTCTCCTTATTATATAATAATTATCATTTCCCAATTCAAAGGACAGAACCCTGTAACCCAAACATTTGTTTACATTGTTAATCGGCTAAATACTCTAAATTAAAGGCTGTCATGATTAATGTGCCTGATTACAGAGGCAAAGCGACAATAATTGCCACTTGTCCAAACACTGAAGTGCATTATTGTGTGTATGACTCTAATGTCTCTCCATTGTGACAGCAGCAGTAGCAGCCTAACAGTGGAACCGGACTCTGGTGGACGGAGGGATACTCAGTCGTCTCTGGACTCCATGGGTCAGTCCAGTGATGACCTTTCATCCCGGGAGCCACTGTGTCCTCTGTACCCAGAGCATTCTGCAATAGGAAGTCTGAGCAGCGAGGTCCTGCTCAATGTACTTCATCTAAACACTAACAGGAAACGTGAGTATAGTGCAGACTTCTTCAAACGAGGCTGTGGACTTCTAATCTGCTTCCTCTTTTTGTGTGCGTGTGTGTCATTATATGCACTACCATTCAAAAGTTTAGTCTTTAACATTTCTTGCTTACTGCATCTATTTAATAAATAAATTGTGGAAAATGCATCAAGATAATACCTTCTTTTCAAGAGCCTATGATAAAATGTAAGGTTTAAAATAACAGAATTTAGTTTAAACTTGATCTTTTATTAATTAATGAATACATTAAACAACAAACAGGGTTTTTTAAGGATCAAAAGAATAAAAGGTGTAAGACAGCTTGAATTGTTTTTATAAATGTAACATTATTACACATTACACATAATAATTGTGTGTGCAATATGTATATTTATTATGTATGTATAAATACACACATGCATCCAAAGAGCAAAAACGAATAAAGGCTTGTTTTTTATATTCTGAAACCAGATAGGCCGACTCATTCACGGTGACGCAATGCTGCCACACACAGGCTAGCCTATTTTTTTCACTTAATAATGTTATAAAAGGTAATTTCTTGTAACAACAGGATTTAGTTAAGACATATTTTCCTCAATAAAGCCGGTTATATATATATATATATATATATATATATATATATATATATAATATTGTACATATAATAATAATAATAAATATATAAATATTTATTTATATATACAATTTTTTTTGATAGTCTACAGAACAAACCATCATTATACAATAACTTGCCTAATTACCCTAACCTGCTGAGTTGACCTAATTAACCTAGTTAAGCCTTTAAATGTCACTTTAAGCTGTATTGAAGTGTCTTGACAAATATCTTGTCAAATATTATTTACTGTCATCATGGCAAAAATAAAATAAATCAGTTATTAGAAAATAGTTCTTCAAACTATTATGATTAGAAATGTGTTGAAAAAATCTGCTCTCCGTTAAACTGAAATTGTGGAAAAAATAAACAGGTGGTCTTTACTGTATCTGTATAGATAAATATAAATTTGCATTAACTATCCCATTGATATGTTTCTTGGTAAGCTGTATAAAAATATGTTTGTAAATTAAATTAGCATTTTTTAATATAGAGCATTTTTGTTTAGAAATTTTAATGCATCCTTGCAAAATACTGAATAAAAATGTCTTTAAAACATAATGGGCCCTATTATACACCTGGCGCAATGTGGCGCAAGGCGTGGCGCAAATGTTATTTGCTAGTTTCAGCTTGACGCAAGTGTCGTTTTGCTGTTTTGCACCACGTTGTTTAAATAGCAAATGCATTAGCACTCATATGTGCACCCATAGGCGTTCTGGTCTAAAAAGGAAGGCGTTCTGAGGCGGACTGCTGGCGCGTTGCTATTTTGAGAAACTATAATAGATTTTTCATTAGACCAAAACAAACCTGGTCTAAACTCCAGCGCAGAGTTGCGCCTCGCTTACACACTGCTTAATAGCCTACACACGAGATGTAGAGCAATACGCAAATATCTTTACATATGAAAACATTTAAATATTAATGATATATATATAGGATATAATAAGAATAGATATAGGATATAAAAATAAAAGATTAAAATATTACAGAACATATTATTTTCTAGCCTACATAAATATGAAAAATCACTGCTTTTATGCCTTCTTCATCTCCGGAGCTTTTTCAGTTCATTCATAACAATTTGCTTTTGTATAATGTTATTATTATTAGCAGTATTATTTATTATATCCATATTTATATTTGCTTTATTAAAAACAAGCTTAGATTTGCCCACCTGCAGGTTTTAGACCATATTGGGCACAGCATGTGTTTTAGGATATAACTCAGGTTTTTGAGCACACTTCGTTATTATTGTTCATTTATTCGTTTGCTGGAAATTAGAACTGAATTTAGAAATAGTTTTGAAACAAATATTTGCACTTAACAAACAAAATTATTTATAGGCTAATTTATGTCTGTGCATAAAGGTTTCCCTATCCAAGAGCGAAAGTAGATTGATTATCTCTCATTCTCACGCCGTAGATGCTCTGTTTAACTGTTTTCTGTTTAAAAAAAACTGTCAACTGTTAACTGTTTGCTTGTGAAATGCTCAGTTTTTCCACTTACTTTGCGTCATGTAAGTAGCAAATGCCCTTATGGCGCGACGCAGCTGGCTCTTAAAGGGGATGGGAGATGAGACTCTGATTGGTTTATTCTCAAAACACACCTATAACTCATTAAGAAAATAAACTCAACCCTTTTAGACCATGCGCCACGGCGCAAAGCAGATTTTCCCGTCCTTAAATTAGCAAATATGGATTCTGACACGCCTTGAAAGCGTTTGCGCCCTGCGCTTTTCGTTTTGCACATGGACTGTCAAAATAGAGCCCATATTCTGATACCAACCTATAGACCAATAATAAAAATATAGTATTGTTCCTTTTCTATTCTTCTATACAACAGGATCCTCCGAGGTCCCACCCAAGTCCATTGTAAAAATGAGGCAGTTTCATTCCCACCACAACCTGCTGAGTCTGACCCAGTCCTCCTCCAATGCCCCGAGTGATGAGCGAGAGCTTCAGGAGCAGCGGCAGGCCAGCTCCAGGCACACCTGTCCAGAGGAGCGTCTTCATTTCACCCTGAGCCGGAAGGACAGCGGCTCTCAGCCACAGAGTCCTCGAGAGAAGGGCATCTGGGTACGACAGAACTCCAACGCCTCCTCCACCACCTCAGACGACAGCAAGACGCCAAGCAACTTCTGGGACTTTTTCACTGGCAAGGTGTCCGGCTCAGAGACTATAGTATGACCCCTACATGTAGTGTTGGGGATATGTGTGTGTGTGTGCGTGTGAATGAATGTACTGTACACATAACAGTGAGAACTGCCAGTAAATACACACACAGAGAAGTAACAAACGATATAATGTTTATATGAACAATCTTAAATCACCAAGCTCATCTAGAACAAGAAGACCTTTTTTTAAAAGTGAGATTATCATTATAAACTTGCCAGAACTATGTATTTTATCAAGCTACAGACATGTGACTATAGAATGTAAATATATAGGCTGTTATACAACTTATATAAATAGAAAGCAGCTTTTTATATACACAAATTATTTACATGTAGGTCCTGAACATTTCAGCAAAAACAGACATCTCTTATTATATTATTTGTTTACAATAATACTCAAGTTTTTTGAAGCATGCTAGTTGTATTTGTTTTCTGATGTATTTGGCAGCTAACTGAGGCTTAGAAGCATTTACATATATGTTAACACATTTCTTTTGTTAAATAAAGCGCATATAGTAGGCTATGTTTGGTAGTTTTGAGTTGTTTTTATTTGGACAAAATGGATTCTGTACCCTTAAATGCTGTACATGTTGCTTTTCAGATACCTGTTGTCAGAAGAAGTCCTTCCCTGCAAAATTTCTTCAATGACCACTCGCAGTCTGAGAAACGTTAGGTGGTATGGAAGACTCTTTTCCTCTTTTCTTTTTGAAGAACGGGGTATTTTTGATAACTTGACTCTCTTTGGAGAACGCTCTCTGAACTCATGGCATCATTGAACCACCAGGGGGGGATATTCACTGACGTCAACATTTTATTGGCGTTAAAGATTCATATAACTAGATCCTAGACAAATATTGACTGTATTAAATATCTGAACTCTGTTTAGTTAAAAGAAAAAGCTGTCTTTCTTTCATAAGAGCAATGTTTTTCAGAGTGAACACTGGCAATTCTTTAGTGGGCAGTACCATGAACACCTATCACCAAATGCCAAATGAACTTACTACCCATGCACTTCTGATTAAGAAACACTTCGTTCATTCAGACTAATATTGGACTTTTAAGCTGGAGCCAAACCTTCTTTGCACACAAGCTGAAGATCAAGGCAGTTTTTCATCAGTTCTTATTTGCTATTAAATCATTTTCTATTCGATTTCAATCATTTTGTACAGATTTTTAAAGGTGCATTCTGTAGCTTTAGCTTTAGCATGGCTGTTCATTGTGTACTGATGACGCAATGCTCTGAGAAATTGACATTAACCTGCTAATTATACTTGTAAGGCTATAAATTAATAAATTATCTTCCAAGTAAACCAAATTATGCATCTTTTTATGGGCATTACTGTGATTTTATCCATTACAAATCTTTCCACCTGTTTACATATTATACTAATGTCCCCCCCTCTCCCCCACTCCTGACTCATAACCATTTTTGCTATTTTAGGCATTTAAGTAGTTTTTCCTTTTCTTTTTTTTTCTTTCTTTTTTTTTTTTGTTTAAACATGGCATGTATGTTTTACATTTGTAAATATAATTGACATCAACCTGAATGCACCTTTGTAGGGATAGCTACTTTTTTCCAAAACTGTTTAAAAGAGATTTAAAATTAGAATGAAAAATTCTCCAAGTTTTACAAACTGGTTTGAGTTCTTTCTGTTGAACACAAAAGAAGACATATTGAAGAATTCGGGAGGAGAAAAAAAGAAAACAGCCATTGACATTCGTAATATTTCTTTCTAGATGACCGGTTTTAAGGTTTACCACTGTTTGGAAAAAAAATAAGGTTTTAAAACCATCAAAATTTTCTGTTTTACCTTTCCTATGGTATTTGTAATTTTTTATGTGTTTCATTTATTTGTTTTCTTTTTGGCTTTGTCCCTTTACTATGGACCACCATGAATGAACCACCAACTTATCCAGCATATTTTTTATGCAGCAGATGCCCATCCAGCTACAATCCATCACTGGGAAACATCCATACACACTTATACACTATGGGCAATTTAGCCTACCTAATTCCTCTATAGCGCATGTCTTTGAACTTGTGGGGGAAACCGGAGCACCTGGAGGAAACCCGTGCGAACACGGAGAGAACATGCAAACTCCTCACAAAAATGGCAGTTGACCCAGCCGAGGCTCGAACCAGTGACCTTCTTGCTGTGAGGTGATCATGCTACCCACTGCACTACCATGTCACCTTTTATGTGTTTTTTTCTGACTATTTTATTGAGGGTTTTTTAGGGCAACAGTATCACTGTTTTTTCAACTTTTTTTCTGAGGAAACTTAGATTATTTCAGGTTTGTACCTCTATAATGACTGTTTTATAAACAATTTATTGAATCCTTTTATTTTTCTGCATTGTAGCTTGGCATGGTAATCTGACTGTGTCAAATAAGAACAGGTTGAGTAGTCTTGTGAAGGTGGAAGGCAAGATCATCAGTTTTAACCAAACTGGTCCAATGATAATTTACCATAATTCTGTTTTAAAGAGAGCTCAGGGTATGCACCCTGGATCACCCATTGTACTCTGTGTATCAGCTGTTGCCATCAGGACGGTGTTTTTAGAGTTTCTATTTGCAGGACAAATAGAGTTATAAATTATTTTATAATGGTGGCCATTAGATCATTAAATGAGTTCAGAGGGGAGGGAGATGCACCAAAAAAAATGATGAATTGCATGTTGTGTTGTAATATCTTGTTAATGTGTACATGGAACTTTGCCTGTGTTACAGCACCTTACTGCAATTTTAGTTTCCCTAAACGAAATAATAAAGTCTGAGTCTCTAGCTAAAGAACCCTCCGCATCAGAAGCTACTGGTCAGTCTATAAGTCAGGAAACATTTGAGAGAGAAAAATGGCTTAAAACCAATATACAAGCATGTTATACCCGAACAGTGCAGTGGCTTTACTTAATACTCAAAGAAAAGAAAGATATTCAAAGATGCCTTTTCAAGTTGTACAGAAATCTGTGTTTTTGAAACTAATGCAGACAGCAGAAGTCAATGACTTATTAATTATTTAGCCTGACATACTGTTTCAGAATATTTTAAATGTTAAAATAAAATATACCATGTTCAAAGAGGAAAAGGGTTGCTTTTTTACCCAGAGATTTAATCACAATACCATGAAACCATGATATTTTTATCCAAGGTTATTATACGTCACAATCTTATACAAGCCCATGCCTAGTTCCTACTATGGATGTCAATGACTACTTTTTTTAACATTATTTCAGAATATCTTGTTTTGTGTTCAACAGAAGAAAAAAGTTCCAAAAGTTTAAAACCAGTTAAGTGTGAGTAAATGTTCCACGGTGATTAAACCATAAGTTTTTTTTTTTTAGTTTAACACAGAAGAAGATCGTTTTGAAGAACGTTAGTTACCAATTGATGGTAGCCAGACTTCCATGATATCTTTCTTTTGTGTTAAAAGGAATCGTTCACCCAAAAATTAATATTCTTTCATTATTTACTCAACCTTCACTTGTCATAAACCTGTTTGAGATTGTATTTTCTATTGAACACAAGAGCATCGCATTTCTGAACGGTCTTTGATTATTTTGTGCCATGTTATAGGTCAGTCATGGATTATAAAAACTTGTAGCTACAAACATAAATCGTATGAACAATCACTATTCAGGTCACTTCACTATTAGGTGTCGAGTGAAAAAAATAATTATGACTCACTTAGTCTAGTCTTCAAGAAGAGCCCCCAGTTACCTCTTCTGTCATGTATTCTGGCTTTGCTTCTGCCTCCTGCTATCCTGATCCAGAGACAGTTTCATCTTCTTCAGATCTTTTTTGATCAGGCTCATTATCAGATTTACTTGTGGTTTTAAAATATGCTTAACTCACTCTTTGCCACTTTGAAAATACAGATATTATTTTGGTAGGCCACTATGCCATTACTTACTTTCACTGCTCACTGCGCATGAAACAATCACCAAGCATTCATTCACATTCTCTCCTGCTTAAATTAAGCTCTGAAAGTGTGTGTATGCTCCAGTTTGTTCTAAAAGCATGCGAACGCTTAAATTCACAGCAATGTTCCTATTTATAAAGTCTTTAACATTGAGAAGTACTTACTACTTACCACCACATCAAGGTCTGCGAAGATGTCCCAGATAGCATACATATGTGGGCTACTTTAGGCAGCTATGCGGCACTGGTGGTATTCCTTCAGCCCAGACAAAACGAAAGTGGAAGTGGCCCACCTGTACAATGGCCAAGTGGGGGCAAAGATTCAGTTTCATATATGGGCCATCTAAGGCAAAGATTTGGCACTTATTGCAAAATGTAATCTGAATGTAAGCTTAATGTGGCCCATATAGAAAATGATCAATTTGGCCCAAATGATGGAGGGAAAATGTGGGCCACAGTTGGCAAAAATGTGGCATTGTCATTTAAAGGTAATCTGGGTCTAAACCTAAAGTGGCTCACACGTGTAAGTGCAAATGTGGCTCAGTTATCCTAATAACATGACATATGTCTGCCACGTTTGGCAAATATTGGGCACAGTAAGATTTGGCTATTGCGGCTGTGAGCCTAATGTGGCCCAGATCTGACAAACAAGAGCGGACCACCCTAGAGCCATCTTTCATTCAGTATGTGGTCCAGATGTAAGTGTCTGGTGTGGGCCGGATCTGGGCCAGAATAAAAGCAAACTGTGGCCCAGAATAGGTTCAGTTCTGGTTCATTTAGTTAAATTCTGGCTGATATGTGATATTGCTACGGCTTAATTGTGGCCCAGATCTGGCAAACAGGAGGGGACCGCCCAAGTGCCATCATTCCATGTGGTATGTGGGCCGGATGTAAGTGTCTGGTGTGGGCCGGATTCGAGCCACATGAATTTTGCTAGCTGGGGTAGGCACTTTTTCTTGAGGCAAAGTCCTGCAGCTATCTGAGAATCTAATAAAAGTGGTGATCATGAACCGAAATCATCATACACAAGATGTGTTTTGAGAGAATAACTTTAGTCTTACGCAGATTGACCTGACCGTTTAATGTTGAGAGTACTACTACAGCATTTATTCCATGTTGTTGTTTTTTACTAGACAATTGGCAACACTTTGATTTATTAATGCGTAAAATCCCACAATAAATGATTTAAAATGAAGGCAAACTGACACTTTTCTGTCATTGGACTAATTTCAAACTCCTTTGCGAGTCCACCACCTCGTTCAGAGCCTTTGCCACAAATTATGTTTTGTGTGGAAAAAAAAAGTGTACGTGTGCAAGTTTCTACCTTCGCCACAAGATCTTAATTACAGACTCTGATTATTTTTTCAGTGTGCTTGTTATTCTGAATACACACTAATATCTGTATTTTTTTTGCTTTACAATTTACAAGGCAGTGCTCTGACCGCAGTCAGCTGTGTACAATTTCAAAATCGTTTGCCATTTATATAAATGTCCCGTTTGGAAGAGAGGTGTGCACATAATCGTTTTCTCTGAGTCGCACTTACGCACTTTTGCGAAATGATCTTTTCAACAAATTTACGGGTTCTGCGCAATTCTGCCACCAACCAGTAGCATGTAAAAATGCTAGAATATCAATGGCTTTAAAATAACATTTGGTTACCAAAAATCTTCAAAACATCTTTCGTGTCCAGCAGAAAAAATATAGTTTGAAAAATTTGAGTGAGAAAATAAGGGCTGGGACAATAAATGATATAATATATCGAATCGCAATAAAACTTAGGTCAATAACAGTAATAAGCTCTGGACTTTTTATACTGATCTAAGAGCCAATCACAGCAGAAATGAGCAACAATGGGAATCTAAAAGTGTGTTGATATTGCTCTGAGGACAGTCTGGAAGGGGCTTTTTTAACCTTTTTTCCCCCATTGTACCTTATTTCCTATGCTACATCTCAACTGACCTGTCGAAATAAGTGATGTTTGTGTATGGTCTAAGGGGTCCTATTTCGCTGAATGTATCAATTAGAGCTGGCATTTAGCCTAAAATTAAAATCTCGATAAAATGGCCATTTTACTTGATTACGATTAATGAAGGTTTATTTAATTTATTTATTGTTTGGCTTCTGTTTTTGTCTTACCTGCTTTCTGGAACCGTTCTTCGCCAGATTCAAACCCTGTTGTCGTGGTCAACTTCTCTCTGCGTCTCAAGTCCGCTGACGTAAATGTCGAGCTACTGGACAAACTGTTAACACTGGGTATATACAGGACCCTGTGACTATATAGATCTAAGCTTTTTACTCAACATAGCACACGTGCTACTGATGATGTGACAATAAAACGGATTTGATTTGGAATCAGAGAGTAAAATTCAATACCTTTTAAGACATTTTTAAGTCTCTTTCCATACATTTTAAGACCTCATCGCCACTTTAGGTCTGAACCGGTAACATTGGCAACATTTTAAATATATTCACTAAATACTGATTGTAAGGAACTAATCCTAAAGGAAAACATTATTCATTTACTTTATAAAAAATAAATGTTAATCCAGAAGGCGTCTACTATAGAACAGAAATAATGGTGCTGCCTTGGTTACTGCAGTAAACAAAGCAGTGTGACATCAAATATAGCAGGATTTTATGGATTTCATAAACTACACAACATCCTAAAATTTCAAACTTTAGCATACAACTATAATTATACAACTGTGTTATCAATAATGATGAAAATGTATTACCTTGTTGCAGCATTTAAGACTTCCTAAAGGACTTAAATTTCTCTAAATTGATTTAATCAACTTTTAATACTTTTTAAGACCCCGCAGACACCTTGTAACGGCAGAAAAATTGTCCACACGGTGGTAAGCACTCAGCTGGTAAGCAGGTAAAGGAACGGCATCATACTGCCCAATAGCGTTCATTTTAAAGAGTAAATGCAGCCATGCATACTTCTGACTACATAATTCGCAATCTCCAAAAAACTATATACATGTACGTTTTCAAAATGAGCCTATGTTGCTTTTTTTAAAATAAAGTAAAAATAAAAGAAATAAATTTAGCGTCGGCATCAGCCACAGCGAGAAGTATGTGACTGCACGAAGGCCGTCCCGGACCCAGCCTGATCTCACGAGAAAAACGTAAGTATTTTACATTTTGTCAGTTTAGTGGTTAATTCGAATTAGTACGAGTTCAGTCATATGAAATTTACGATTTTAAAAAGGAGGCGTGGCACCCAACCCCACCCCAAACCCCAAACGTCATTGGGTGATGAGCAAATCGTACTAAAATGTACGAATTAGATAGAACGAATTAGCCACTAAATCAAAAAGTTACGAATTGCCGTGAGATTACGTTGGACCATATGTGTGAGCTCAACGCAAAAGTATAAACAGAGCAGGGTCAAATGACTCCACACACTGCAGAAAATTAATTGAAAAAAAAATCTACCTGGAAAAATGTGATTGATTATGGGTTCTAAATGCTGATTTCGATAACTTTTCGCTTAATCGCCCAGTCCTAGTAACAGTGTCAAGACAAATAAAAACTCTTTTTCAAATTTATTGGCCGAAAATGTCATCCCATTTAATGGACCCTCTAACATTTGTGGCATCAGTCATTGTTGGGGTACTCCTTTAAATCTGGAAGCATGAACAACTTATTTCGAAATGTATATCATTATCGTTTAATATGGGAAATAATTATCGAGTTGCATTTTTGCCTTATCGCCCAGCACAAGTTTCTGTGCAATTCTGCTACCAACCTATAGCATGTAAAAATGCTAGAATATAAATCGCTATTATCAACTAATTGGTTGCCAACAATCTTCAAAATTTCTTTCATGTCCAGCAGAAAAAAATGTTTAAAAAATATGAGGTGAGTAAATTAGGGCCGATAAATGGCATTATATCGAATCGGGCTAAAATTTAGGTCAATGACAATGACAAGCTCTGGACTTTTTATAATGATCTAAGAGCCAATCACACAGCAGAAATGTGCAACAATGGGAATCGAAAAGTGTGTTGATATTGCCCTACTTTAAGGCTTTTTTTAATCTCCATTTGTCCCCCAATGTATCTTATTTCCTATTTTTCTCTGTTATGTCTCGACAGACCTGTCCTCCCCTAAAATGTGTGATGTCTGTGTATGGGGAAATACTTTTTTTGGAGTGTCTATTTAGACTACATGCAAATTACACACCTCGTTGGAATAAGCTAATTAAGTGATTCCCGCCCATCACCATTTGATAGACAGAGACAACATAACTAAAAAGCGCTACACACAGCAGCATGAGTGGCGTAGCTTAAAAGTGCATTGCAAATTGTTTTACATGATCATGAACTCAGTTCAAATAGCATCTGATGAACTCCTTTCTGATGATTTTCATTTTTTAAAAGTGTGCTTTAAATGCTTTAAAAATTTGTTAAATCTCTGTAGACTAGAAATATATGTACTGTATATCATCTGCTTTAAAAAGGTGGGCAATACATTATAGATTAATTTTATTTTTAAAATAATGTTATTCTTATTTTTTTTATTTAACAATAGGGGTGTGACCAGGTAGGGGACCGACAAGACATTGTGCCCAGGAGCCTCTGAATTCTTAATCCGGGCCTGGTCGGAGGGGTCTAATTTCGCTGCATGTAACAGTGCTGTGACAACTCTACATCATATTAGAGATGTACCGAATTTTCAGCCACCAAAAATATGTAACACCGTTTAATGGACCCTCAAAGTTTAGTGGCTTCAGTCATTGTTGGGGTACTCTTTTAAATCTGAAAGCATTAACAACTTATATTGAAACATAGATCACTATCGTTCAATAAATAATCATCGAGATTGCAGTTTTGCCATATCACCCATCCTAGAGTAAATAACCAAGCAGTAATTTATTGGTTGAACTATCTCTTTCAGATCTCTTACCACTACCTGAACAAAACCGTGAAGATTTTGTGAATCAGGAAAAAAAAGTGAACACATGACATGATAAAAAAAAAAACAGAGATCACTATATGAACCCCCTTGAGGTGGTTGATGCGTTTTGTTTGCTTTTATTTGGGACAGGATGACCCAGTCCCATCTTTCATCCACGCTGTCCACTCCACTCCACAAACCAGATCATTCACCTGGTTTACAATTTGTACATTGCTTTATCGAAAGTGCACTTTTTTTTCAAACCCAGTATGGAATAAACATCATTACAATGTTATAGGAAGGGGCGGGATGAAACAACGTTAGCATGACATGGCATTAGATCCAGTACACGTCCGTCTGCTAATGCCACAGCTAGCTAACACTCAGATCAGTGCATTAACTGTTTCTTTGACTAGTAACTGAGCTTCTTGCAGCATTAATCTGGTAAGTCATTTCAACGTTCACCCTTACATTTCTGCTTCATCACATACAACAGACCTGGTGTCCAAATAAGGGACTAATTAGCAAAATGTATAAAAAGAGAGAGAATGTCAAAGAAAAGTTAATAGAACATTTATAATTACACATAAATAAAATCATCAAAATAAAGGAACAATCCTTCTCCCGTAACTATACTAGATCACAAACCAAAGAAATAAAATATCCAGTTAACTCCGCTTGGAGAAGCCTTCAAAGGATAGTTCACACAAAAAGGAAAATTCTGCAATCATATACTCAACCTTGACTTGTTCCAAACACAAAAGAAGACATTTTGAAGAATGTTGGAAACCATTTACTTCAATTGTATTTGTTTTCCTACCATGGAAGTCAATGGTTCCAGGTTTGCAACATTATTCAAAATATAATCTCTAATCTGGTTTTAAATAAGTCAATGGTGACTAAATGATGACAGAATTCAGATTTTTGGGTGACCTATCCCTTTAATTCAAAAGTGATGATGACACATCTACAAACACTGTAGTATGTGTAAATGTGGAATTTACATGACATGGCACCATATGTCAGTTTATTTCTACATACAGTTGAGTCTACTTGGGACACGCAATGCCAGTGAGTTCAACTGACCAGTGAGAAGCGTAAACCTCTTAACAGACGTTGTGATGTCTTGTTTATAAGACCTTTATGCATGCTTTATAACAATGTCAAGAGTTGTTATACCACACATGCATCGATACCAAGTAGACTTCAGGATGAGTGGAATAATAATCAGCAGCACTGTCAGTTATGACCTCTCACAGATTAAAGCGTGTTTCCGTCAAACCAACTATCAAATAAAACCAGTGTCATTTACACAGGAAACCTGAAATTATCAAATAAAATGACCACTTTTTCGTTTTTATACCATCGTTTATCATCCTTTTTAGTCTTTATTTAACAGGGATAAAGTTAGATAAGAAAAACAGACTAATTCAGTGTTTCTCAACCACGTTCCTGGAGGACCACCAGCACTGCATGTTCTAGATGTCTTTGTCAAACCCATTACAGGTCTTTCAGTCTCTGCTAATGAGCTGATGATCTGAATCAGGTGTGTTTGGTTAAGGAGACATGGAAAAATGTGCAGAGCTGGTGGTCCTCCAGGTATGTGGTTGAGAGGCAATGGACAAAGCTATTTTGCTCAAAACTGGACTCTTTTACTGCTGTATCTCGCTGGCATGTACTAGCAAAACTTTTTTAAAGGAACACTCATTTGACAACTTCTCTCGAGTTAAACAGTTGAGTTTGACCATTTTTGAATCCTTTCAGTCTGGCAGGGGAGCACTATTAGCTTAGCTTAGCATAGCATAAATCATTGAATCGAATTAGACCATTAGCATTAGGCTCTCAAAAAAAAGTTATGATAATTTTCTTATTCTTGACTCTTCTGTAGTTTAAACATGTACTAGGACAAACTGAAAATTGGCTCTTTTCTAGGCCAATATGGTTGGAAACTTGGCGTAATAATCAAGTACTATGCCTGCAGCAGGTGCAATATTATACTAATCTTTTACTTCGTTAGCTAGCTGGGGACTATTTTCAGGTGCTGCATAATATTAGCTGTCTCATTTCACAGGCTGCATCCACCCAAGGATACATTTAAAAGGGGCTGCTTGATGAAGGTGGTCTCATTTAAAAAAAAATTTTGAAGGCTCCTTCAAATGCAGCCTCAAAATGTGTCCTTTGCTTCCCAAGTAATGAAGGACACAACCGGTGGATACTTAGCAGCCTTGAACATCCCAAAATTGATTACGTGCGGATAACGGCAGGACGTTTTAAAAAGCCAACTCCAGATTAAATGAATGAATGAAGTTTTATTTTACTTGGGTATAAACACATTAAAAAACAAAAAGAGTATGACATGTCTTACTAAAAATGATTTTGTAGACAGTTTTCATCATTATGCTTTTATAAACACTTCAGTTCGCTTAAAATGTTTTAAAATCGCTCTAAATAAAAATTATTTTATTACGAATTTTATTACTGCTTATTAATGGCAGCTGTTATGGTTGCTAGGTGATGAGAAATGTCCCTTTGTAGGCTGGATCATCTCATTTCAAAATGCTCGGTGTGGCTTGTGTGGACTTTGAATGACTCACCCTTGAAGTCTGCATCCTTTGGAGGATGCAACCTCTGAAATAAGACAACTATTGTAGCAATTTTTGAGTTAGATGCTAATGGTCTAATCCGATTTAATGATCTATGCTAAGCTAAGCTAAAAGTGCTCCTGCAAGACCTGCTGACTTGGTCAAAAATGGTAAAACTCAACTGTTTAACTTTTGGAGACTTGTAAAATGAGCTTATTTAAAAACACACACACAAAAAAAACTTTAAGTTCCTTGAATACCTAAACTTGCTTATGTTTATTTGTGCCTGTAAATCTCGATAGTTTGCAGGATGGTCTAGGTAGTAAGATTCACTAACATCAAGCCAACCTAGGAAAAAAAAGTGGTTTAACCTCCAGGCTGGGCTACAAATTAGAAGCAACCCTTTATCCGAGTCACCAACCTACTTCTGAGCCAAGCAGGTTTGAGCAGACATTCACAGAAAGACTGCCCTTCACCACTGGCTGTGCTTCGCTTCCCATCCAGGCCAATATTGAGTTCAAATGTTATTAATGAAGAGGCCGGAAAAGACTACGCAGATCCAGAGAGGAGTTAAAGAGGACGATATAATGGAGTGCAGAGCCGTACTATACTCAATCCTCCAACATTCCTACTGTTTAATGAGTCCACATTCATTTCAGACAATCTCACAGTGTTAATGAAACACGACTGGAAATGTGCGCAGCTTTTGGTTTCACTATGAGCTTCAGTTTATATTGGGAATATTAAAAAGCCCTGATTTCTCTCCTCCATGTGTGTTACACTAGTGTGCACTAGATGACACAATCAATCTGTACACTCGCTCACAGTCCACACGAACTGACAGAATGTTTTACATTCACAGAATACTGAAAAAGCATCCTTAAGCCAAGCTACATCCTTTATCCACACACTACTCTGCTATCCACAATCCTTAGCAGAGCGCTCGTCAACCCATTCCAATAAGCCCTACATGAGATCACTTGTGAAGTTCCTGACACCAAAACGCTCATCCTTTTCATATTCGTCCAAACCCCTTCAAATTTACCCATTCAGGTCGAGCAGCTCTACTACAATGACAACATGAGTTACTGCTTCTGCGTACAGCACATTGAGAACTAGCAGACGTAGCATGGTCCTTGACATTGCAAGAACCATTGTGTGCCTTTCTGGACTGACCATGACATTGCGCCAAACATAGATCATCACACGATGAATGCAGAGAAGCGAACCAGACTATTAAAATAAACCTTATTACTGTGTGTGATGGGGAAAGAAAAAAAAAAAGTTTGTACAGTGTCCGTTCTCAGGCCACCAAGACGTATGTGTAGCTCATTTCACATGTGTTTATGTGCGTTTTGTGTGTGCCGAGCAACACAAAGCAGGCTAGTGAGACGACGGCGAACCAGACGGCGATTACGTCTGCCTGGCGATTGCTGTGCTGTGTCCAGGTCGCTCTGGCATCAACTGCTCCAGTCTGGGGCCTGACGCTCCAGTGCAAAGCTCGACTGATAAGCCTGGATGAAAAGGGACTTGACTGAGAGGGGATGAAGCAGGAGACAGAGCTCTGTCAACACAGCCCAAGCCCCCCCCATTCTGCCCGATCCGGTCTCTCACAAATCACACCCTCTCATTCCTCTAATCTCTCCTGCTGGCTCAGTCTCTAGACTGGTAGAAGAGTATATACCCTGACTCTGAGTTTTTGGAGATGTCCGACGTCAGACCGTAGAATTCCTCAATTGCTTGGGCATCTATTTTCTGTGGGAACAAAGAAAGAAGAGGGTGAATGATGGGATTTAAAGGAAACCCCATTTAATCTGGGGAGCCAGTTGCTTGCTTCCCACTGCTGCACCTGTCAATCATTCTCCATTCATTCACAATTCAAAATGTCACGTTCATGACAACTCATAAAACTATTTCCAAGACTATTTGTTCCTGTTAATATAAGTAATCGGTGGAGAAATGCATTTCGTTTTGCATTAAATGGGTTCATTTTAACCTGCAGCATGGAGATCATTGCTGTTTTTAAATCATGTTGCGCTGTACACTGGAGTAGAAAGGGGTTATTACCTGCTCTTCACACACAAAGTAGGCCTACCTGAAACTTTAGATGAGAAAAGGCTCAATAATACATTGGACAGATCTTCAACTCACTGATTTCTCTTCTTTGTGCTGCTGTTTTGGCAGTGTCCGTAGACTGGAGGGCTGCACGCTGTGTCAGCGATGCAAGCGCTTCATTCAGGCACCGGCTGCGCAGACGTGACATGCGCCACTCTGTAAGATTATTCTTACAATAACTTTCTGTTCTCTCATCCTTTAGACTAAGTTTATTCTTCCGAGGGGAATACTTGGCTCTACAAAGCTTGGCTCATTATGGTCAAAGTAGTTGACTAAATGAATAGGCTAAAAGTGAAACTGACGACCAGGCACATATGGATTTTTATTAACAGACAATTATTTACAGTAATATAGGCTACTGTGAAACTGTGAATATTTCACTGTCATTTTATTTTTATTATTATTTTATTTAACAGACCAGTTTGTCAGTTTGTGCACTGAAGCATAGGCCTATAGGTGGACCTTGTTTTGAACTTCACCTCACATATTTTTGTTTATTTTGTCGATAACTGACCAACAAAAATACATTAAAATAACCAACAAATTATATCAAACAAATTTTGTTTCAAAAAGATACTCTTTCAGACATGCTGAAGACAACTGAAAAGTTTCTCCATCTCACTTGTGGCGAGTTTTGGCAAGGGAATGTTTATCAAGTAAAACTGGCCTCAGACGGTTCAGGAGGCTTTCACACCTACACCTTTGTTTCGGAACCGGTCTCATTTGCCCATTTAGTCCGGTTCGTTTGGCATATGTGAAACCAGCAATGGTGCTAGGATCCGTGCCAAATCAATCGCTCCGAGATCGCTTGAATGAAGTGGTCTCGGCTCGATTGAAACAAACTCTGGAGCGGATCAATTGCAGTGAGAAAGCGATATGATCCGAGCACAGTTATATCACAGTGTTTTATGGATATGTAATAGGCATACGGCTATATGAAGAGAGAATTATGAGTAGGGCGGGAAGTTTCGGGAGTCTCCCGGATGCCCGCAAACGAGTGATAATCTCCTGGTAATCTCGCGTCTCCCTCCCGGTCCTCAAATACGTCGCCCATCCTTCTCACCCCTCCCCATCGCATCTCTCCTCGCTCTTCAGATACATCGCGCGCACCTTGTCAAACACCTCCAAACCACCACCTCCCCAGACAGCTGAGCAGGGCTCTGCAAAATAAACCCTGACACTCTGACCAAAGTGAGGAGAGTTCACTCACACGTGACTTGTTTTAACTCTTTTGGTCCATTTAGAAACTGCAGTGTGAAAGCGAACCGCACCAAGAGCAAAGAGCAACAATGTAACAATTTTAATCCCTGTTTCAGAACAACTGAATCGATTCACAGGTGTGAAAGCACCCTTAGTTTAGTCTGCTTCAAACCCGCAGGAAAATATCAGACTTTGCTAAAATGCTCGTTATTTTACAACTGATTAGGGTCAATGTAGTGATAACCTAATACAGATTTCAAAGAAAAATCTTAACATTAACAAGGAAACCCAAGCTGGACCACAACAGATGAGATCAATGTCATATTAAATGCCCAAATAATAGCAGCCCATAGTTTTTAGCAAGCATCATGTTTAGTTAGATTGTGCCGTCTGTCATATACAGTAGACCTATAGGTCTGTTATTTTTACTAAAAAGGATATATTATTTTAGTTTATCACCAAAACTATAGAAACTGTATTATGTCAATAAAAAATAAAATTAAATAAAAAAAATGGCATAATATCGGGATCGTACCTGTATCAGTCGATACTCAGGATTTTGGTATTGAGATCGGATCGGTTCCAAAAAAAACGGTATCGCTGCATCCTCATTCATGATAAGGTTTCCCACTGTCAGAAGTACCAAAAAACTAGTACAATACCACCTCTTTGGGTAAATTGTTAGGGTATCTAGCACAACAAAACAGTACCAATAAGGTGGTGCTAGACTCGCTGCTGAATGTTATTGGTTTACAGAGAATCATCACTTGCACCGACAACAAGCAAAGTGAACAAACAACCCAGGAAGCACCATGCATGTCTTTGTTTTATGGTTTCCTTTTTTGGCTATGTAAGTCTACTATAATTCAATGTCTCATAGTCGACTGGCACTCAAACAAAGCTATTTATCCTTTTTGTGACAAACAGCTACATGTCTTTACCTGTGGCCTTGATACTTGTTTACAGGCCCATTCAGGCCACGTCTTAACACGTGGAAAGAACTCCTTCCTCTATTTGCACGTGTTTGCCGCATGCCTACATTAGAAATACTGAGCTTGAGCATGCACCGGATGTGATATGTGAAAGGCTGAATCTGCTTTCTTTTTTGAACAAGAATGACACTGAACCCATTTTTCTGGCATACACCACACCGACTAGGAAGAGTAATGCAAGGGAAATGCAGGCCTGATTAGGATGATACATGTACCAAAATACTCAAGAAAATGAGGCAAATGTCCCACTATGTGCTGGGCTAAATACACTCATTTGTGTGTATATGTAATAGTTAATCAGTTGATATCTTCTAGAGAGAAGTTAAATGGTGGAGTCGAAAGCAAGTCAGGAACTGCGCATAAATGAAAAACCGCTGCAAAGAGAAAGCCTTCATGATTCATGTTCTAAAAAGTAATGGGCAAAGTAGCTCTTTAGAGACAAAAAAAACAGGTATGTTTGAGCATTATGTACATTTATAACCGCATCCCACAAATTGTCCATGATCATAGTGGTGTTCAAACAGATCCAGATTTTATTTCAGACATATTCTCAGTGGTTTATTTGTTTGGTGCGCAGCAAGAGGATTCAGAGGGCAGCATTCACTCTTGGATTTACACTTTTAAAGCTTGAACTTTTTTAGAAATAAACTTTCAATGAACAAACAGAAACGTTTCAGACTTCAATAAAGTGAACCTTTCTCTCGCAGCTCCCCTAGTTGTTGATAAGTAGGGATTGGTATTTTACCGGTATTGGTAATAAATTATAAAAGAAGTATCGATAAGCTCTGACATTAACGGTTCTGTTATCAGTACTGGATAATTACTGCTTGATAAACATTACATACAGTTGCATAATTTAACCGACTAAATTTTTTCTAATTTGCGATATTTGATATTTGTCTGCACAGTTGGCAATCTCACATGAGAAATGCTCATGTTTCCGGCGAGCGCGCCAAGCATAAAAGCCGTCACAGTTCTCGGCTGTTCACGGGCACTCAACGGAGGCTCATGCTAAGAGCAAACACAAAGCTCGCAACAAAGACTCGCATGCACACACAGCTCGTTGGCTTGCAGAGTGGTGGAGAGAACCAAACGGGTTGCATTTCCCGAGTGGAGACCGACGATGCCCGTTGCAACAAATGCAACAAGTTTGGCTAAGCATCTTTCAAAAGAGCATTAACTGCAGAAAAAAACTTGTAGTTTTCGACTGCCTACCTAAAGGTACATCATCAACATCGTTATGCTAGTAGTCAATCACATAAGGTCTCTCTAAATTAGTATATTAGTTTAATAAACACACATATTAAGTTACACATTCACTTAAACATTCAAAATGCTTTTATATAACTGTATTTACAAATACAGCCTATGAATAGCCTAATAATAAATTATGCTTATAAAGAAATGATAAAAAACTGCTTATTTTTACATTGTTAACTCCCAAAACACCGTTAACTCATTTAAGTGAAGGCTTTAATGAAATATTATAAACAATCTCATTTAACTGCATTTTGCAACTCAAGGAGGGAATTTTATACTGCAGGGAGCACAATAAAAACCAAGAAAGATCCCGACTTCTGCCAAAAAAGACAAACATGTTGATTTTTTTCTCCAGAAGAATGGTAAAAAACTGAGGCATTTTCCAAACCATTGTAGATTATTTTGCGAGAAATTTTTTTTTTAAATGTTTTACAATTATTATGTTTTTTTTTCATAAAAAATATAATAAAATAAACTGTTGTTTTTATAAAAACTACAAAAACTACTGATAAGAGAACCATTAAAGTACCAAACCGATAAGTGGCATCGATAAAAGTAGTAATACCGTTAAAACCTTAACGATACCCATTCCTATTGATGAGCATAATTGTCTGTTAACAGCAAAGCTGATTACACTATTTTGGTCATGGGCTGCATTCCAGTCCACTTTTAAACACACTCTGAACTTCCCTTTCCTTGTTTCCTCGGGGGAATCTTGAAGCTATTTTGAAGTGCATTCCACTTCAAGTGAATGAGGGAAGCTTGCATGGACATATCCATGATCCCTCGATTTTGACAGTGAGAATAAGCCGGCTTCATGTGTCCACTGAACCAACATGTCCTAGAATGCAATGTGATTGTGATAAACGTGTGTAGATCCCAAGTGCTCAATACCATGGTTCCAATGGCAAGGATAGGCAGGGCTGTGTGTACAGTCCCTCACCCAAAGAAGCCAGCATGATTTCAGGCAGGGCTAGGCGAAAAATCTATTTTATCAAATAACTCCAGTGTGAAGTTCAAATCGATTTGTTTGAATGAGAATCGTTTTTCACCCTAACACTGGGCTCCAGTAGTTCCCTCTACATTTGCTATAGAAACACACAAACAACATGCAGTAAACAGAGGAGAACTCAGAGAAATGCTACACTCTTACAAAAACATGGACGCACAAACACACCCGACAAAAAAAAACAGCATAATTCAGGGCTCTCAGTCACGCATTCACCACGAGACATGCATTTGTACGTATTTTTTCACAGTAAGAGGTTGCATCATATTTTTAAACGTTTTTAGCAGTGGACCATTAAGAGAATGATCATGTTGTCTTGGTTTATTTTATCCCCTGGCTGACCTAAAAAATAGAAAATAAATTTGTAATTCAACCTCCACAAAAACGACAGCATCTCACTGATTTGCCTTCAGCAGCTAATACTAATGACCCAAGCACTGGACCCAGGTGAGTAAGCTCCAAATATTTCAGGTCACAGTGCTAGCAATACTAGAAATACTAGAAACATGAAATGCAGGAAATACCAAGATACTTAACTAAACTAAAGTTTTATTCCATTTTCTCATAGCAAAAAGTTCCTGACCCAGCCATGGTGCATTATCTGTGGCAAAGTTCTTGCTAACGAATGCATAAGGCTGTCCAAATTAATAAGAAATTTACAGATGACTCATGCCCAATACAGCTACAAGCCCAGAACATTGTTGAGCGCAAGGCAAAAGAGTTGACACACCCAAAATGAGATGAGGGACATCACAGCTACTGACAAAAACTGACAAAAACTTTTACAAGATTGTCAACTATATAATTGACAACTGATATATTAGGGCCAATTTAAAGGTCAAAGGCTTTCGTTTTTCAGTTGCAAATAGCCTACTGATGTTTTGCTTTTACATTTTACATTAGGCTATTTGTGCATAATCGTATCTAGATATAGTAAAAATAAATAAATAAATTAAAAATTACCATTTGTTTGAAAACAACATTTTTTGTCATCCTTACTGCAAACATATGAGCGATAATATTATTAAATGTTGAGGGGGGCCTTTCAATATTTTCTGGCGGAAAAGGGGGTCTCAGGCAAAAAAAGGTTGGAAACCACTGATTTATATGAACTGATATAACACAAAATCAAATTGAATAAACAAATGAATGCATGTTCATTGAAAAAATAAAAAGTTAAAATAAATCATCTTTAAAAAGGTCCCTTTTTAACAATTACTATAAGTTTACTTTTACTGTAATTGTAAAAATGGTTTTATTATTTAAAAAAAAAGTTTTGTATGCAATTAGGACGGTGGCGCAGTGGATAGCACGATAGAATCACAGCAAGGTCGTTGGTTCAAGCCCCGGCTGAGCCAGCTGGCATTTCTGTGTGGAGTTACTCCAGGTGCTCCGGTTTTCCCCACAGTCCAAAGACATGCGGTACAGATGAATTGAAAAAGCTAAATTGGTCGTAGTGTATGAGTGTGAATGCGAGAGTGTATGGATGTTTCCCAGTGTTGGGTTGCGGCTGGAAGGGCATCCACTGTGTAAAACATATACTAGATAAGTTTGCGGTTCATTCCGCTGTGGCGGTCCCAGATTAATAAAGGGACTTGGTTAAAAAAAATGAATGAATAAATGCAATTATAAATAGAGCTTGTTATATTTGATTTCTAAACCAGAACTTTTTTATCTTTAACATTTTTTATTATATAATTAATTAACTTTTAACTCAAAGCTTTTTTTGTTGGGGGAAAATTTATTTAAATCGTAAATTGATTTTTTTGTGGAAAAAAAGGCTATATCGCCCAGTCCAAATTTCAGGTAAGAGGAGGCCAATCTTGTAGCCACAGCAGCGGAATTCCTCTAGTTTAAATATATTCTACTACTGACAGAGTAGACTACTGAATTTTAGAGATATTTTTAAGGTCAAAAAACTTGGTATTGCTTTAAAACACTTTAATCTTGAAAAATGTATGTGTTTTCAGGCCATACAGTGAAAGTCCATACAGCTTTAGTAAAACATCAATTTATATGTGGAAGCATATGATATCTGTGCAGTTAGTAACACTGAATCTGTTTAAGATTCACAGCTAGGCCAAACAATATAACGCTGACTTAAGCGATAAACTGAGAAAATCTGTTTACCAGTGGTGCAGAAATTACACTGCCCGTGACTTCTGAAGCATCTGCATCAGGTTGAACTGTGGAAATGTTTCAATGCTTTCATGTCTTGCTTTCCAGATGTGCAATTGGGGCGACACCATAGCATCAAAACAGCAGCTCACTTTAGCATATAACACAGCTAAGCACTGCTCATCCAGAGATGCACATCCCAACTGTGCTTGATATTTATAAGACTGCTGCTTTTCGTGTTTACGCTACAAGAGCCACTTCATGTGCCGAGAAGCACCTAAAAGTTTGTGTTCCCAACATGCCTGTAAATATTTGTTCAGATTAGCATGTAGTTAAGCTGATATGACATTTGTGTGTCAAAACTGAAAGGATTTATACTATACATGCCCATTCTGTTGACGGAAAATCTGTCTAAATGTCAGTTCAAAGTACACTCTTAAACCAGATCTCTAGAACACATTAAAACAATCAACATCATGAAGACGTAATGGAAACATGGTGTTGGGTTACAATATGTAAATTGCTCTTTTTCATACCAAGAATACAAAACTTCTATTTCATTTACCAAACCAATGACAAGAGTCTTAAGTCTCATTAGTGCATTTCTATTCTCATCCTTAAGAGAACGCACAAGTATTTGGGTCAATCTGAGGACAACTCCAGGCAAGCACTTGCTGAGGCATAAACAGCAGCTGCTAATCACCTGACAAGGAGGGTTAACAGAGGTGCTACTGTGCAGAGCAAGACATCCAGACACCTTCAGATCAACTCATGCATTCAGCGCTAATCACCAGCAACTCAATGTGAAAATAAACATATTACAATAACAGCTGGAGGAAGAATGAACAGAGTTTGCTGAACTGAAACTGTGTGCATTTTTAGATACTTCTACTTTCTGTTATCTTCTTAGAACATAAAACTAAATGGCTATTCTAGGTTAAAAACAAATAAAGCTTTTCAGAAGCATTTCTTCACACTTTTATTTTACTTCTCTGAAAACAAAGAATACGTACATGCTTGTGTATTTGGAAGTCTACACTACCTGACAAAAGTCTTGTCACCTATCCAAGTTAGGAACAACAAATAATAACTTGATTTCTAGTTGACCATTTGGTATCAGAAGTGGCTTATATGAAAGGCAAAGGCCTCTAGATTAGACTTATTTTACCAAAGACTTTGCTTAGACAAACGTCTTGTCTCTTAACAGAAATAATGTCCAGTAGAGAATATAAAGTCATGGTGCAGTGGAAAAATAATGAATATTGAGTATGACTCCCATGAACTTGGAGGACTGCATCCATACATCTCTGCAATGACTCAAATCACTTTTTAATAAAGTCATCTAAAATAGCAACTCCCAGAGTTCATCAATATTCTTTGGATTCATCTTCAATACCTCCTCTATCTTACCCCAGACTTGCTCAATAACGTTCATGTCTGGTGACTTGGCTGGCCAAGCCTTTACCTTCTTTGCTTTCAGGAGCTTTGATGTGGGGTCTGAAGTATGAGGAGCGCTATCCTGCTGTAGAATTTGCCCTCTCCTGTGGTTTGTAATGTAATGGGCAGCACAAATGTCTTGATACCTCAGGCTGTTGATGTTGCCATCCACTCTGCAGATCTCTTGCATGCCCCCATACTGAATGTAACCCCAAACCATGATTTTTTTCTTCACCAAACTTGACTGATTTCTGTAAAAATCTTGGGTCCATGTGGGTTCCAGTAGGTCTTCTGCTGTATTTGTGATGATTGGGATTCAGTTCAACAGATGATTCATTAGAAAAATCCACCTTCTGCCACTTTTCCAAATGATCAACTAGAAGTCAAGTTATTATTTGTTGCTCATACAACTGGAATCGATGACAAGACTTTTATCAGGTAGTGTATCTATGGCGAAATGTGTACAGCTGGGAAAATAAGTAATGAATACATCATGTTTTTTTTTTCCTGGGAATAATATTTCTAAAGGAGCTGTTGACATGGAATTGAAGCAGAATTGAATAACAAAAATTTGGAAAACTTGGTTATGTGTAGTAACATTGAAATGGTACAAAGAAAAAGTACCAAACTACTGAAATGTATTTAATACTTTAAATAAAAGGCTGTGTTAAAGCTTTAAGATGCCTCTCATATAGAAAATTAAGTCACATGCATTGTCAGGAGTTTTTCCAAAGACTTCAGAGTGTCAAAATCTTATGTTCCTGTGGGTTTGTCGATCAATTCAGAGCTCTAATTGATATTTTATATTGGATTCGGTTCAGGTGATTGGCTGGGCCATTCCACAGCTTTATTTTCTTTCTCTGAAAGCATTTGAGAGTCTTCTTGGCTGTGTTTTGCATCATTGTCTTTCTGAAATGTCCACTCTGGATTCATCTTTATCATCCTGCTAATGTAGATAGTGGACTAAAGCAGCTAATATTCATTTACAATGAGAAAGGGCAGAGCGTTGCTGAGAAAGAACTGAGAGATTTCAGCTGCTATCTGGGCTTCCACTGCCTTTCTACATGTCCCGTTCTTTGTGTGTTCAATACTTTTTCCCTGTGTCATTTCAGTTTGTTATGCATAACTTGCATAAATAAAAAATAAAAAAATTGTAAATAAGTTAGATTTGTTTTCTTTGCATATAAGGATTTCTTTGGTTGTTATCAACATCCGGGAAACATTTCAAGTCAACGACACCTTTAGAAACATGTTTTCTAAGAAAAATGCTGACGTGTTCATCACTTAATCTCCCCACTGTATTTAAAGGAAAACATTTTTTGTATTTTGAGGTAACTGAAAAACAAGGAAATTGACTTTCTCTGGATAATGGGAGCATGAAAACTGCAATGTTGCATTTGGAAAACATCATTGATTATGTAGAACGAACATCATACATTACCTCTACAATGTCATCGTCAAACAAAAGCCAGAAGCCGTGACTCTTCACTATAGTGATATAATGACCTCGATTTGGACCACTACAAAAAAACAAACAAAATCACATTTAGTAAAAATGATATGGTTAAAAATTTCTAGAATAAAAAAGGAAACTTGCATTAATACGTGGGTCACAGATTAAGAAAATTTGATTTCATCGCCTGTTTAAAATCCGCATGAACCGGAATTTGTTTTGACTTATTTCAGTATGATGATCAGTGCTTTCCACAGGTTTGAAATATACTGGCCGGATTAAAAAGCACCTTTAACCCACAGCACATAAATAGTTACCCATATGCGACAAAACATAATAAGACTTTTAACACTGTTTTTATTATTATCTATTTTAACGTTTTTCTTTTCAATACGTTAAAAAAAGTAAAAAAAGAAATAAATAAATGTAAAACAAAAATCCACTATTTCTCTTTTATGCTATTCAGGTGCCTATGCACCCACTGACAAGTAAAATCGGCTTCACTCTCTCATTCAACTTCAGGTTGCTTTATTGGCATAATATTTTTGACAGTATTGGCAAATCATTTTAGGTGTATAAAATATGAAATTAAGTGACGCGGTGGCGCAGTAGGTAGTGCTATTGCTTCACAGCAAGAAGGTCGTTGGTTCGAGCCTACGCTGGATCAGTTGCCATTTCTGTGTGGAGTTTAAAAGGAATAAAAAAGGAATAAAAATAGACTATCTCTAAAAATGTAAATATTTATAAGAATAAAATTTGTAGATCATTTAAATAAGACAAATTAGTTAATTACACATTTCTAATGGTGTACAAATACTACGCAGCCAATTTAGATGTCATTTCGTTCTCTCCGAGTATTTAGTATTTCATGAAGTATATTTAGTATTTCATTTCATGAAGTTTTCATGAGTCGTTTAGATTAAAGAATCTATTATTTAATGTCTATCTCGCTCAGCTGCTGTGCGTATAAAATTAAAGACAGCTTAGAAAACGAAAGCAAAACTAAATCCTGAACATTTTAGTAGATTTAGAAACCCCGGCCGGACGCAAAAAGGTGCGAGTCTCTGTGGGTCTGTAGAGCATGTGAGTGTTGACAGTTCTCGCACACAAAGAATGAGCAGTATAAAACGGGTGAACAACAGAAGATTTTCCACAACTTAATCACTTGCAGATGTTTGTTTATATTGGGCAGACACAAAAAAAAAAGTGTAAAAGGAGGATAATAACAGTAAAAAAAAATATTTAATAATATATTTGGGCAGCCATTAATATGTGTGGGAAGCACTGATGATGTACTTACAACTGAAACAAAATATTGAATGTGGGAAAGGGCTTCCCTCATTCCTTCATAGCAAACTAATGGTAAGAGAAATTAAGAATATTGTGGTTGAAGCCATCAAACTGACACCAAACAGGAAAGCAAAAGGTCAGATGTTAATTGAAGATTGCTGAAACAAACATTTTTTTTTCATGGATTAATTTTTCACCAAAATATAGTTTGCTTCATATAATGTTTATTTTGCTAGCGCTCATTGCAAACTTAAATTTCACATGGACTTCAAACATCAGCACCTGAAAATAATAAACACTGAAGCCTACCTCCCACAGTGCACCACTACAGCCACCAAATCGTACAATCGGTCAGGATTTGTAGCATCCCCAGAGGTGTTAAACAGCCTTAGCTCCAGAGGGAAGACTACACGATAAGATAGCTTGGTGTAGCGATGAAGCTGGTCCATATACTTAAAGCGCTTTAGGTGCAGGGCAAGGATCATGGGCAATTTCTTTACCCGCATCCTGTAAGGAAAAAGAAATAGGAGATCAATTTGAACTCAAAATTCCATTTCCATTCCCAGACAGCACTTCACATGCCAACAGAGATGCATTCATGAGGAAAAAATAAATAGGTGTATATATAAGGTATGCTGAGCCATTAGTTCCAGGAATGCCAAGGCATCAATGTGAATATATTAGAAATACACTTTAGGGACAAGACAGATTTCAGCCATACTGCATACCTTTTCTGAGCCTCTTGTTTACTTCTGCATTGCTCACAGTAGTACTTGTATTCACTACATAAGGTCTCCGTGTTGCTGAAACCTCTGTCAATGCAGAGACAACATGTTATTATTCCAAATTATTAAACATTTTAAAGAACAGTGTGGGATTTGAGGCATTACCTTAGACAGTGTGTGATGGAGGTATTCTGCTCCACATCCACTGAGAGGTCTAGGAAGTCTTCGTCTTTACTACTCACCTATGGCATAAATGGACAGGGTTACTTATAATGCAATTTAAGTTCACTTATTATAATATAAAGGTTTAGTCCAACAAAAAAAAAATGACATTTCTATTATTATTTACTTGGTAGGGATGCAACGATTAACCGGTTTCACTATTAGCCACGCTATAATTTGTCACAGTTAACTAATCGTGAAGGCTTCTCAACACCATGTTTCTGCAGGGAACAAAACTTCTGCAACTAAACAAAGTTATGCCAAATGTGCAGTAGTTTAAAGTTACATCTAGGCTAATATGCAAACACCCGATTAACTATGGCTGAGTGGCTGAGGCTATTAACAAAGGGTAGTTCACATGTCATGTCTTTTGTGTAGCAAGTTTGTTATTTCTTTTCTTGCAAGCATATTGGGAGCGATGTGCACATGGCACAATGTGGTCACGCTTTTCAGATGCTCACTGCGAGTCACGTGACAAAAACTGACCGACTAGCTTCCTACCTTGTATAAAATATACACATTTCTACTCCAAAGAGAAATAAAAACTTCAAAACTAAGAATGCTGAAAAAGTTTATTATAAAGTCTGATCTGTGCATTTCAGAGGTTTGGCAGCCTTTAACTTCATTTGATCTCCCAAAAGTCCAGAGAGAGAAATGGACTATTGCTTGTTTTTATTATTATATTGTGCTGAGCAGCAATAAATAACACTTTAATATAAGTTTTCATGTCATTTTCTAAACTAGTAGTGTTTTGAAACTAATGAATGCATAATAATCATGATAAACGTGATTACTCTTCAGACTATAATTGTACAAGCAAAATATAATCGTTGCATCCCTATTACTCATCCTCATATTAAAGCTCCAAAGAACACTTTGTGTGACAAAACCTATAAAACATGACTTTGTTTGTTTGTGTCGCATATTAGCTTCAGGTTCAACAGAACAACACACAAGCATAGCATCACTGCTCATAGTAAATGTGCACCCTGACCTGATAAGGAAGTCTATTAAAAACAAATTTGTTTTCAGAATTATTTTGGCACACAAAAGTGTTTAGAGATGTTTATGATTACAGTTATACCACTGAGTTCACATGGAATGTTTTGACAGTGTTTTTGGTTCCTACCGAGTTATACTTTATTGAACTTTTCAGGAAATTTGCTTTGGACTCAAGCAGCACATTTGTGCAACAACTTCGAAATTTAAAAATATCATGAAGTTAGACAGTCATTTAAAATGTTAATGGATCATTGCTGGTATATTCTGGACTTTAAATGTCTAAGGATTATTGCTGTGATGGAGGATAAGAGACAGCTCTTGGATTTCATACAAAAAAAATCTTAAATGTGTGTTTTGAAGATGATCTCAGATCTCAGGGGACTGGAAATACTCACATGAGGCTGAGTAATAAATAACAGAATTTTCATTGTTGGGTAAATTAACCTTTAAGGTTTGTATGAACTAGATTGTCAAATGTCAGCTCTAAAAAGGGATGTGCAGGTTCAAAATTAGTTAGTGGCTTGTTTGAATGTTGGTTTTAAAGAATAATTAGGCTTATGCATGCATTTCCAAAGGGCTTTTACGTGGTTAAAGTAAACAGTCAAGCTCTGTCTCAAATGCCATCATAACTTCGAAACTTTAATGATGCAATAGCACAAAGAATGCTGAGCATTGCATTGTGTACACAAAGTAATGGCATTAAAGAGGGTACAGATGAAAAACTTGACATGTTATAAGTCCACTTGACCTTAAGTTAAAACTGCACAATAAATCAGAATAAAAATTGTTATTGTCTGGAAATAAGGCTTTCATTTAATAAATTCATTAAATATGTGCCTGCACATTTCAGAGTGAAGTGTAGCACTGTTTCCAGATATGGAGCTAAAAAAAAACTCTGAATGTGCTCTTAATTGTGGGATGTTTACGTAGCAGTGGTAATCAGCATCCCAAAATTCTAAAGTGATTTTAATCACTTATAAACAGTATGTTGCCAAAAACATTTATTTTACCCTGAAAAAAGCCTGAGGATTTTACAGTTATAATTTATATATAAATCATATGTTACAGTTATGTACAGTTATATATATATAATTTTTTTTTTTTTTTTTTTATTGAGACATCTATAAATTATTTTGGAATAATTCAATAGATTAAATGTTATATATATATTAAATAAATGTACTTATACAGCTGTACTATGACAAGAAAAAAGTTAGCTTTCTTTCTTCAACACTATTAAAGGTCATATACAGCTCCATTGTGCATGTGTAACTTTAACTCTGGTTTGAATGAACAAATTGTAAGACTCAAGTCTGATGCCTACTCTCTTCTGATTTGTCCAATTAATGGAATGGAATCTCTAAAAACACTTGTAAGAGTGGCCATTATCACATCTAAATTTCAGCCACAGAGGGTTCCTCGAAACTTGTAAAGAAACAGTAATAAAGATGGCAGTTTTACTAAAGCAATGAGAGCCCAAATCCTCATGTTTTGAAATTAAATGCAAAGTGGACTTTTTTCATAAGGGATGTCTACACAACCCAAACACTTTTAGGCCACAAGTACAGTTTTTGTGACGCAAGCTGGTCAAAGCTGACATTTTCAGGAGCAGCCACTGAAGACCTTAAGCTTGCATTATGGCATAATCACAATTATTGTGGTCATAATTGTAACCATGATTATTTTAAATGATTATCAGTGGGCCATATGACCAAAAGGATATAGAGATATATTTCATAATACGAAAGTAGAATGGGACGAAGTAAAAAAAATTAACAAAGATTTCTCATAATAGTGAAAAGAAAAAATATATATATTTACATACGTATCTTTTTAAAAATGTCTAAATGAATTTGCTTTTTTGTAAGAATCAATTTAGCAGACTGTTGCGGTAATGAGATTTTTTATTACTTGTTTTGGAAATTATGCTCAAAAAGGTACTAAATGATGTGTATATATTTTTAAATTAATGTTGACAAATGCTCCAGACTTTGTTTCAATTATCTGCAAAACCAAAATTTAATTTAAAATTTTTTTAAAAATTCATGTTTGAAAATTTTTTAACTACGTTTTCGTGAGAATCACCCATTGTATCTAGCATGGATCGAACCGGTGATTCTTTGCATGGGAGTGAGTTGCTCTAACAAGAAGACTAAAGATCATGGCCTCTAGCATCTGACACTAGAGCACCTTCTAAGGTCAGAAGAGTGAGGTGTACCTGCATAGCACTTTGCTAGCTGGCCTTCAGCTGGCCTTCGCATTCAGACACATTTTTACTCGCCGACAGGTTTTGAGAAATCGCCGCCGAATGCCTGAAATCACAGGCAAATCGGTGCTCTTGCACGTGAGTGATAATCACATAGTATGAACTATCACAGACGAAACTGAGAGAATCGCTGATGAGTCAACGATGCCTGTGAGATTTTTGGCATGCTAAATATCTGGAGCTGTCGGAGATGAGTTTTGACTGCAAAATGACATCAGCAATCGCCTACAGCCAATGAGAAAGCAGCTCACTTGTGTATGTACCTGCAGGCCAGCGGAGGTTGGGGGAGAAGTTAAAAGCGCTCATTATCGGTTTATTTGGATTCAAGAAATGGAGGAAATACTAGTGGAGGTTTGATAGGAGCACATGTGTCTGTTTGACGTTTCATACAGAAAGTTAAAAAAGAAAGTTGAGGAGAAATAGCTAATTCCCTTCAAACCAGGGTGAGCAAATATGTACATTTTTTACCCCATTAAAGGCTTCTTTCTCATTATGTAGTTAATAACAAATGATATACTACGTCTTTTTGGCTGTGAGACGTAGTTTGGAAGAAGTTGTCTGTGAAAGCCCCTGTTGCCGATCCATCTTGCAGCGTAAACAAAGCAGCAACAAAACGCTAGGCCAGAGAGTCATGCAGTGTGAAAACATCTGTGACACGACTTCTTTAAAAATTATGTAGTCTGAACACGGCATAAACCTCACTTCCAGCCCAATGTATAACCGACCAGTCCTACTGCACCCAACCCAGTCTGTGCTAGGCTCAAACCGGCATTTCTTTGGATGGAAATCGGTTGCTCCAACAAGGAGACTAAAGACCATGGCCTCTAGTGTCTGTTGCTATAGCACCTTTAGAGATCAGAGGAGCGAGGTTTACCTGAATGGTACTTCGCTAGCTGGTCTAGTTTACACTCACTAAGGGTGTCATGATCCTCCAAATCCTCGATTCGATTACATTTTCGATTCTAAAGTCACGATTCGATTTGATTTTCGATTATGAATAATTAATTAATTAATGACCAATTAATTATTTGTAGCCTACTGTTTAAACTACCTGACCTGCATGGTCTTTGTTTAACCCATAAACAAATCATACAGTAAATGAATAAAGGCAAGATACACATAATTACCACCTGTCAATCACTTTTTTCTGCGGGACTCGTGAATAGGCAGTGATCTGTGTCGTTATAATGGCGTCGGTAAAAAAGACGCACAACCAACAGGAACCAGCCAACAGTATCTGAGGTGTTCGCTAAAATGACTAAGTACAAGTGAGTGAAAGATTGAAGCAATCCTCTGACTGCCTGGACCTGCTGTCTCGAGCGCATGGCTATGTGTGCGTCTGTGTCTTTGTGGTCACGTGATGTGCATTTTCAGAGGTAGAGAGGAAGGAGGGCTGCTCAGAAATGCTACACGCCACTGTGGATATCAAATCGTTGTCGTTCTAAAATGCCATTTAAAAACAAAGACAGTGTAAACAGGGCCTGAGTGTGTACTTTTCGCGAGCGGATTTGCAACGGGGGCGGGCGGAGGATCGCGATGCCGGTGTTGTCTATCGGACGAACCGTACGTAATACGTACATAGCAGAGCTTGCAAAACTGTGTTTTTTTTGGTCGACAACACGAACGTTGTCAACATAACTCACTGAAAATCCAAAATGCTTACACAGCGGCGACTTCATTGAAAGAGGAGAGGGTTTAAGTTCTGTCGACGGGTCTCCTGCTTCTGCAGTTTAACAAGCGCTGCAACAAGCCTGTTTTTTTCCGGCTTGGCAAGCCAGGCTGACATGACATGGGGGCTTGGCAGCATCGACGATTCTATCTTTTGATTCGATAATCGAAATTGAGCATAAATTTCGATCGATTTCGATTAAAAATCAAAATCGTGACACCCCTAACACTCACCGCTCTAAACCTCACTCCCATCCCGGACGAGCCCCCACATATAACCCCCCGGTCCTACAGCATCCAACATGATTTGAGCTGGGATGAAAACGGGGATTCTTTACATGGGAGTTGAGGTCAGAAGAGTGAGGTTTACCTGCATAGCACTTCGCTAGCAGGCCTCTGATATGCTCACCACCCTAAACCTCACTCCCATCCCAGACAGGCCCCCACGTATAACCGACCAGTCCTACTGCACCCAACCCAGTCTGAGTTAGGATCAAATCGGCATCTCTTTGCATGGGAATCTGTTGCTCCAAGAAAGAAGACTAAAGACCATGGCCTCTAGCGTCTGTCACTAGAGCACATTTAGAGGTCAGAGGAGTGAGGTTTACCTGCATTGTGCTTCGCTTGCTGACCTCTGTTACACTCACCACTCCAAACCTCACTCCCGCTTCAGAAACATTGCTCGCTGCAAAAATTGGGACTTGCTCAACTTTTCAAGCGCCAACGGAAGTGTCAGCCAATCAGATCGCTGTATGCAAATACACCAGCTCAGACTGTAGCCAATTGCTGACTAATTTCATTGGCTGACGCTGCTATGACAATCACGTCAGCCCCAAACTTCAGACACGTCCTTTGTAAAGCGATGCTGAAGCCCTGTGTGAATGGGGCGTTAGAGGTCAGGGGAGTGAGGTTAACCTGCATGGCACTTCGCTTTGGAATAGAATAAATCAAAGAATAAGGAAGCGTTGATAACATTAGAGAGCTGAAAATCTAATATAAAACAGTGTAAGGTGAACTTGGTCAGAGGAGTGAGGTTTACCTGCATAGCACTTTGCTTAGGGGCCTCTGTTACAAACACAATTTGTTATTAAAGCTACATTTAGTCAAAAGCAGCGAGCGATCTTCTCTTTTGTTGTTTGATTAAAAATGAAAAACAAAGTTTGCAACAGAAAGTCAAAAGCCACATTACATACTTTCATTAATTTCCATGTGAAACTGAGCTTTGCAAAGGAACGAATGTGGACTGCTGTAAAGGTGGCAGGATGACACATAATTACCATTTTATCTCGATTAATGCTTTTTCACAATCATTAAAGGCAAAAATAAATATAATTTCAATTAATTGCACAGTCCTAGATTGCATTATGCGAATCTGGTAAAGATAAATCAATAAAACTACATGTGTTTGTGCTGTAAGAATAGGCAAGCCTTTTACATTCATAAAGAGCTACATGACACTACATGAATGGCTAAATCATCCATCATCACAACACACCCCCAAGTCTCAATTCAAACCCTGCAAACTTGTTGAAAACTGTCCTCATGTCACATCTATACAGCCTCACAGATGGTGATGTGTCAAAGTTGAATTAGTAATGGCCTAGGCGCAAAAATATACTCATTCCCAATATCTTATTCAGAGTGCTCATGATTCACTCCACTTCCTCTGACTCACCGCTTCACAGTTCAGGCACCGTGTTTCATTGGTCAGCGTGCCTTGGAAGATCTCGTGCACCCAGGTCTGCTGGGTCTTTTCCTCTGTTTCACCTTCTCCTGTGCTGCTGCCGCTTCCACCTCCTCCGCTTCCACTCCCACCATTCTGTACTACCTTTCCATTCTGCTGTCTCTCCTGGCTCTTCTCCTCCTGCAGCAGGTCTGCAATGGTGTTGAGCAAGTAGTTGAGGAATTCGTGTGCATCTTGCTGCATGTAGTTGTCAAACAGCTCTGGAATAGGATAAATCAAAGTATAAGGAAGTGTTGATAACATTAGGAAGCTGCAAGTCTAATATAAAAACAGTGTAAGGTGAACATGAACAGGAGAAAAATTGATATAAAACCATTGCATATTAATCCAATATATACAGTGTTTCCAGCATAGCTACTCAGTTTAGCTGAATCTACAGCAGCAAAAGTAATGAGATTTTATCAGAGCTCTGAATTTGCAGTCAAAGCAAAATAATACAAGCAAAAATAAATTATGTTGTCTCTGCTGGCTGCAAGACTACTGTAGTGTGGCAAATGGTAAATTAATTTTATGAGTAAGGAATAATATTGTGTTTAGCTATAAAAAAAATAAAGTTATAAATAATCAAATAAATGGTCACTTTATTTCAAAGTATCGCTGTTAATAAACCATTAACTATTATATTTGCCTTAATAAGGTAGTAGTTAGGTTGTGTAGTAGTTAAGATAGTTTTTAATGCTAACACAAGGAAAAAAAACAATTCATACTACCAAAACATATAAAATATTTATAAAATATATTTAAATTATATATCGTCATTTAAAATCTATAATAAACATTGCATTTCTATTAGGCTATATAGGCTATATATTAATCGTCACATCATAACTAGTTTTATTTAAAAATATAAAAATATTAAAAATATCTAGCTTTATTTTAGCACAAAGTCAGGATAAGTATGGTTCAGATGCGTTTTAACTATAAGCATTTCTTTAAGTTGGATTTTTTCAAAAAATGATTTTGTGAAATTAATCTTTGACATGGCCTAATTCAGTCAGTATATTAAAGATATCAAACAAGGTTTTTACATTTTTAAGGAATATTCTTTATATTGCGTAGAATGATTTCGTCAAAAACAGAAATATTACAACAACAAAAAATAATAGCTGGATTTTTACAGAGAGGGACTCGATAGGTGGATGGATAGAAGGATGGATGGGAGTAATGATAGATGGACAGATGGACAGAGAGACAGACAAGACAGATAGATAAATGGACAGATAGACAGATAGGAAGATAGATGGATAAATAGATGGATAGTTGGATGTGTGGGAAAATGGACAGACAGACAGACAGACAGACAGACAGACAGACAGACAGACAGACAGACAGACAGACAGACAGACAGACAGACAGACAGACAGACAGACAGATAGATAGATAGATAGATAGATAGATAGATAGATAGATAGATAGATAGATAGATAGATAGATAGATAGATAGATTTTTCATTTATTTGTTTTGGCTGGAATAAACAGTTTAACTGTATATACACTACATTTCGTTTACTGTATATATAATCTGAATGTCTACATTAAAAATGTTTACAAACACACCTGGCTGAAAATATTATCTGTTAAACAACATCTTTAAATATCCCCACGCAGATTCCTGTCTACCTCTAGCCAACCTGATTAACCCACATCAACAACACGTCTCATCAGACAGTCAGTCAGTCAGTCAGACTCTTCACTGTAGGGCCAGTTCTCACCATTTTCCTTCCTCAGTCTGGAGATGAATTTCTTCGGTGGAATGACTCCCACTTTCTTCTTCTGAGTGGCGATGCTGTTGAACAGGTCAGCCAGGCAGGTAAGCAGACTCTCTTTCCGCCGCGGCTGGATCTTATAAGCCAACACTTTCTCTCTGAAGGGCCGGCAGAAGTACAGTGCCTGGAGCACCGAGTTACAGTAGCAGGTGTTGCCAAACTGAGGGACCAGGTTGTGATTGGAAAAAAAGAACAAAACAAAACAGAATGATGAAGACGTAACATGATGTACCTATAAATGTTTCAAATCAGAAATCATGGCACCAAGAATGTAAACCTTTGGTTTACTTTGGTTGCACGATATTGAACAGAAAAAATGGATTTTGAACACTTCAAATATATTTATATATTTTTTGGAGATATACACTACCGATCAAAAGTTTGGGGTCAGTAGGATCTTTAAATGTATTAAAATAAGCTATCTTGCTCACCAAGGTTGCATTTCTTTGCTCAAAAATACAGAACAAATTATAAAATTGTGAAATCTTATTGCACTATGAATAATATGAACAATTAAAGATGAATTATCAGCTTCATTACCCCAGTCTTTAGAGTGACGTGAACTTTCAGAAATCAATCTAATATTAATTAATATTATAATTATAATTATTGTTATTATTATTATTATTAAGCAATAATGACTGGATTAATCATTTCATTTGAAACTACATACAATAAGTAATAAATAAATATTTAATAAATAAGTATTTAACTTTTTTTACATTTATAAAATTCTGCCTTGATGAATAATTTTATTTAAATTATTAAATAAAAATTATAATAAAAAAACTGACCCCAAACTTTTGACCAGTAGTTTACATCAGTATAAAAACATATTTTCACCAGATGACTTGATTAGCTATATAGGAAAGAATTATTCATTTTAGAGATAGCAAGATGACTTTTGTCTTAAAATAAATTTTAGTAACACCTTTTCAACAATAAAAATAAAAACAACATTATTGAAATATTGTTTTACAAAAATAGACCATCTCAGTCTTTCTATTTCACATATTTCTTGTAAATTAAATTTGTTACTTGGAGTTAAATTTGTAATTAAAAACCTGTAAAATTCATCAACAAACTCAAAGTGAACATTGTTTCAATGTAATTTCAAAGCTATTTCTGACCAATTGAATATGAAAGACTAAACACTGTGATTTTATTGTGATGATTAGTACAATTACACAAAACAAGAAACATTGATATAACACACTAGGTATGTGAAATTAAAAACACTAATAATAATTACATGCTAACTTTTAAAAAAATCTATCGAACATTTATTTTGAAAAAAAAAATAATTAATACTGTTGTCATTAAATCGCTGCAATAAGAATCATCATAATGTCATTTTTATTTCAGGAAATCATGCAGTCCTAGAAAACTATTTGAACTGAACTAACTTTGCAACAATGTCACTGTTATTAAATTGACCTATAAACCTTAAACAAAAAACACACACACAATTGCCTTCTATTCCTTACAACTCAATTAAACTGATTTCTACGACCTTTGCGACACTGAAGTTAATTGAAGCAATCCTAAATTAAACTGAGCCCAATAATGTAACTATTATCTTCTCTAGAGCGACTGAACAGCTTAAATTAAATTAGTTTCTTAATTGCATCAGTTTCATAACATAAGCACTGTTATTTTTCAGGTTTTATTTTGGCAAAACTGATTTATTGTAAAATGTACTTTACATAATTACATGAAGCTTGTATCATATTATTTTGCTGTTTTTTATACATGCTTGCCAACTCTGCCATTAAGAGATGGCACTAGCGCATTAGATTAAGTTGCTTTAAAATGTAAAAGCAAAAATGGCAAGGTCATCTACTATATATAGAACATTTGCAGACAATTATGTGAACTTACATTGACCAGCCCAAAGTAGTGTTCATTAACAGGGAATTGTTCCGGTCCAATCTCCTTTTCCAAAGCAGAGGCATTGGCGCCCTTGAGAGAGAGAAAGAAAAAAAAGCCACAATGGTTATCATTGCTCATGGGGTCTCAATAACACAAGGTACCAGGAACACCCTGCACCTATTTGAGAGTAACAGGAACATCCTGTTTGTGGAGCGTGATGCCAGGCTTGGCTGTACAGGATGCAGTTGCTGGGCAAGCGCAGCCACTCTGTTTTACCAGGGGAAAACATCAAGCTGTAAGTGCTCTTAGTATCTGAGGTATAATGTATGATGTTTTCTCATAAGGTAAAATGCACAAGTCAGTTGTTCTTAACAATTGTCATTCAATTACTTATTTTACTTGTTTTCCCGTTCAGGCTAACACAGTGTGTCACTGCGACATGCCATAAAAGGTATCTTTTCCATGTTAAAATGAGCTTTTGTCCTAACCATCCACAACACAACTGGGTTCATTGCAGGGCCGTGTGATTAATCTTTGTGACATTTCAAAACAATGCCATAGCTAATGCACATCATAATCAAAGCTACTATGATCCTCCAGAGGGTCACTACAAGGTTCTCACATTAGTTAAAGGTTGCATGAAATTACTATTATTTTATTTTTATTTTATTTTATTTTTTTACATCACCTCATACTACGGTTTTTCGTCAAATCATAGCCAATGAATCATTCTCCAGTATCTGACATGCCCCAACCTCTTTAAGACCTTCTCAATTGATGTGCTTGAGCTTAACCAACTCTCACTGGCAGAGCGATAAAAGTGATAAGAGTGATAAAACAAAACTGGCTGTTTTTTTAAAGGGGAGGGGCTATACTATACCCCACCCACTCTTTGTATTTCAGTTGAGATTACTTTAAACATTCCATATTTCGAAAAAACTTCATGGGACCTTTAAGGCCTCGGTATACTTCAAAGAAAACCAAAAAATGAACTCAAATTATGTCAGTTTAGGAAAAAATTGTCCAAAAGGAAGGTTAATTTTAGTTCATATTAGCATTTCGAAAGCTTAGCATTAATTTGACTCTTAAACACCTTTGAGCTACCATTGGTCTGTGCCGATTATGCAATTTGTTTGTGTGTTCTGCAGGGCGGTGAGTGTAGTGTCGCGGATGCCGCCCTTTTTATTCTGCCACCCTAGACGCGGATATAACAGACGGTGCAGGTGGTGAGGGTAGTGTAGTGGATGCCGCCCTCTCTATTCTGCCGCCCTTGACGCGGATATAACCGAGGGCGCAGGTGGTGAGGGTAGTGTCGGGGACGCCGCCCTCTCTATTCTGCCGCCCTAGGTCGCCTCTATGGACGCGCCGGCCCTGGTGATCTGGAACTCCACCTTATTTGGCATGCGACTAATTCCCATCTCATATCCAAAGGGCTCAGACAGGAGAACAACATATAACACGACAACAACATCAATTTACCAACATAAAAACACTGAAAGGAAGGTCATGTCGAGAGAGAGATTTTAAAGTCTTATGGCAGACGCCACGTCTTATAAATTGCAAAACAATGTTCCATTCAGTGTCTCTCCACTGCAAACAGAAAACAATGTGGAGATGTGGCATGCCGCGGTGGCTGGTGTGCAACAGGCTGGAGAAGGCTGTTTGCCAGATGTCTATGAAATTGTTCTTCCCTCACAGAAGATCTCGTTGTTGTGTTTAGGGCAGTGGTTGCCCAAAATGTGAAAATCGGGGGGCCCGAGGGCCAGAATTGAGAACCACTGGTTTAGGGGTACACACAGCAAGACACATTTACAGCTCTGCCTACTGCAGCATAGAGGTGTTAAAGTGTTTGAAAACAAATTCTACCTATACTCTAAAAAAATCCACCTGTACCTATACTCTTTTCTTTGTTACATTCAAAACTGTCACTAAGAACTGTGAAGTGATGAAAGTCAGCCAACAGTGATAAAGCACTGTTTGTGTTTCCAGATAAAGGAGATTGAAGGTAGGTGTAAAAGTTATGCAGTTGAAAAAAAAAAAAAGAGCAATAAATCACCGTAGACAACTTGTAGTGCATGAATGCCATTAAGAAAAGAACACAGTGCTGCAGACAAATGCAATGGATACATGCCACTAACATTCTCCTAAAACATTCTCCTATAACATTATAACACTATAAGATTATTTGTAATATCATATGCCTAGTCAGCATATGATCACTGGTAGTGTCATACTGGAACAGAGTTTGGGCACACTTTGCTATCCGAACCGTGCCCAGGCCCTTTTCCAGGATCGTTTGAGAAGTATGAGTGCTCTGGATTGGGCTCAGACGCAGTTCAGTTGGCCAACCCTGGCCCGGTTGGAAGAGGTGTGCCAGAGTGCGGTTTACTTGGGCTTTGACGCGGTATGCTTGTGTGTGAGTGCAAAGCACACCAGTGAGCCCAAAATTGAAGACGAGACGTGACTTTAAGGGACTGTTTCATATGGATTTATTAAAGACGCAAACCCCTCACTGCAAGATAGCTGCACCTTTAGCAAACCTCATAATTCTTGCAGCACGAGGACTTTATGATTGTTTATGAGCGTCAAAAGTGGCCGATCTGTTTGGCGAAATATTTGACTGTGTGTCACTGCATATCAAACCACTAAAACGATATAACTAAAGAAATCTCCACTGTGCTGAGCGAAACCACTTACTGAACAGAGCATCATCGATGACGTAAGCGTGCTCAGGCACGAGTGTAATGAGAGTGCAGGCCATCGGGGAAGACGGAAGGGGGGACAAGCGTGCTTCGGCCTGGTTCAAGGCAACTGTACATAGTGTGAGTATGCCCTTAGATCCAACTGTGAAGCAGGAGTTAAATTCCCCAAAACAGTGTTCCCAGAAATCATTGCCAATTACTGTGGTGCAAATAGTAGATGTACTTTTATCAATGGTGGAAAAAAATTGACTGAAAAAGTTTATCTAGTGTGAAAGCCCCTTATCTGACCCTGAGGAGAACCATTCAGTAAAGCATACTCCTGCACATCAATAGGACATTTAGAGAGATTAAGGTGTGAAAAGTAGAATACATATACAGGGCTCAACAATAAGGACTGCCCGATGGCCCGGGGCCAGTGTGAGAGATGCTCGGGACAGTAGACAGAATTGTTACTGGCCCGATCGGGGCAGTGCTGCCTTGTCACTAAATTTTAATAGATGGCAACATGACCGCGACATTAAATTATGAGGCTAAAGGAAATGTCTGTTTCTAACTTTGTGGAAACATTTAAATAGGTACAGCATGACGAAAAAAATGAAGGTAATGTTTTTCTTAGTTTGCCGTCACTTTTAAGTCAGCCACCTTTTGTTTTGCAATAAAATACGTGCACGTTTTCCATACTGCTACATTTTACTGCTAAATATTTTTTTAAATATTTCAATTCTACAACTACTGACATTATTTTCATTCATTCATTTTCTTTTCGGTTTTGTCCCTTTATTAATCTGTGGTCGCCACAGTGGAATGAACCGCCTGACATTATTTCGTGAAACATTATTTAATATATGTGGCTAACTTTTTTATTTCTTTTATGGGGCCAGTGAAAATTTGGGCAAGTAAAAATCTGAACCACTGGTCCATTCAGGCCAGTAGAAAAAATCCTTAGCGTTGAACCCTAATATATAAAAAGTATGTTTACATATTCATTTGATCAGTTAGCCTAAACCAAAAAAAATTTAACTCCAGCCAAAATCTCATTCTTTTTTTTTTTTTTTCGTTTTTTTTTTTTTTTTGTGAGCAAAATAAAAAAAAGAAAAAAATGGCTGTTTTCTTAGTTTTCCTATTCTTTCTTGAAAACGGATATGGAATGGACAGAAGATACCCTGATTGTCTGGGACATGTATAGGGCAGTATGTGTATGGATGAAAGACCTATTTAGATTATTGTGTACTTTGTTATACTTTGTGTTTAATTAGGAAAAATCCAATAATGTTCAAAAAAGAAATGTAAAACTTTATTCATAATTTGAATCTTTGCATTTCCATCCAAAAATATGGTCACTATCATTGAATACAGCATCCAACACTGTTGTTTTAAAATAACAAAGGCAGGATGTATATAAATCACATTCACTGCAATAGAGACCCAGTCATAAAGTTATAAGTAATTCTTAGATACAAGGAGCAACATTTTTGGCCATAATGATAATAGATTGAATCAACTGAAAATGCTGTTCCTGGAAGGATCTGATTCATCATGACTGTGCGAAAAGTCAACTATATGTATGTACAGCTTTTTGTATCATCATCTCAACGCAAGATTTGACCACTTTGATTCCAAGCAACAGCAAAAAAAACTTTCATATAATACACACACAGTAATAAACACACAATAATACAGTTTTAACATAACTCAAGCCGAATCAATAGGGTGTAAATCCATGCTTCTTATCTCCAACTCATTATCAGTAACTGCTAGTAAATAGGGAAGTTGCCACATAAATATCTGCTATTTAAAGCATTTATTGACTGATATGATCTCAAATTGTTTTCTAAAATACGACGACTAACACATTGCCCAGATGAAGGACATTTTAATTCATAAAACCTTGTGTACACACAGCATACGTTTGTGTACTCAGTGTTCTCAATCTACGGTACTCACTTTCTAATGTATCCGTTTACGTGATCATTCCAGCACTACAAAAACACTGAGTTCATTGAAACTGTTTTCAGTTGTATCCTTCACACATACACACACACAATCGTAAAACCGCAACAATAACAACAACAACAACAGCAGCAGCAGCAGAAGAAGCAGGAACTGTAACGTTAGTCTCATGCATGACCTCGCCTGTTACCTCTGACCACCCATTTCCTTTACAAAACACTAGTTAACATATAGAAAATCGTCCTAATGACTAACAATATGGTAAATTAACTTAAATAAAGCTGAGCCGCCCGGCTAATCAAACATTGATATTATGTGTATCGCTCGCTAATACGCTAGCCTATACATTTGACCCTTGAACGCAATATCAAATTATCTCGCAAAACTCTTAAAAGTACATTTAACCCCATCGCCAAACTTCTATTGCGCCTTTAAACGCATAAAGGGAGCTGTGCAAACTTTTTGTGGCTGTGTTGCCATGTCATGACACGGTTGTTTATCTGTTAGCTGTTGAGCTAGTCCTGTTAGCAAGCTAATCCAAACACAGGTTAGACGCAGTGGACGGGACAACACTCACTTATACGAGGGAAAACTCACCATCGTACAAATCGAGGCGATCTTTCGGACTGTCATCAGTATTTCCATCCGTCTGCCGCCATATTGGACCGAACCCCTATTTAAAAGTGTGACAGCCGCACGGGCTGGAGTTCCGGTGAATCCTTCAGTCGGTCCAGCAGCAGCTCGTAGCGGAATGAGGGAGTGTCGCCCCGCTCTCTAGCAGCTGCGCAGTACGCGATGTTACTAATCCTACTATGACCAAAACACCCATACTCTCTTTAAATTTATATATATATATATATATATATATATATATATTTAAAAAGAGTTAAAGGTATATTTCACTAATACTGGCAAATTTGACATAATAAAAAAAAGAGTTGTTTTAGTTAAAATGTTCAAATGTTTCGAGAGGGTCTCTAAATGTATTATTCGTCTTCCTAAAAATTTAAACACATATTTTTGCTTTTGTGTATATAGCCTACTGTATAAGCAAAAAATTTGACAAATCATGATTGTTTATTTATGCAACTGATTTTTGATAGTAATTTATGATGCTTAAAAATAATTGAGTTTTTTTGAATGAAAATATAATTGTCATAATATTTAACAAAATGTGTCTTTCATCTTAGATAAGCATCCAAACAGAATAGAAATGCTCGCACATAGGCAGTGGATTATGTACGTCACTAGTAAAAAAGCGCGTAGTCCCTTATGAAACAACCCTTCATAACATTATTTTTATTTTTATAGTAAGACTTGAGGTATGAATATTAATTAGATAATGCTGACGTTGCTTGGTAACCTTCCTGTTACGTCGCCTAATTAATATTCATAATCCGAGTCTCATTCGTATGTATCCGCCCTTGTTTGGTTTTCCGACTGAAGAAACTAGTTTCATACCATTCCAGACGCAGTGTGTTACTTCTGACCTAATCCATGTATTTTATAGATGACCATAGAGCAGGGGTTCCAAAACTTTTTAGCTTGCGACCCCCAAAATAACAATGCTAGTGACTCGCGACCCCCAATATCCTCTGAGGTAGTTATATATACAGAAACCTTGCATGCAATAACGCACACACACCAATAGACCCAAGTTTATTCTTAGTTTATTTTTTTTATGTATATCAGAGCTGTAAATGTGCCAGAAAGTTTAACCTGATGTTATAAAATCAATCTGCTGCATCTGACGCCATTGGCATTAAAAAAACGACTAAAGAAAAGAGACGAGCAGGGGTCAAACTTGTGCTTTGCTATTCCCCTGCTGTCTTTACACGGAACAACCGAATGAGCAACAGCGAGCAGCTGAAGGCTAATAATGATCAGTGTCAAATAAATAATCTCAGAACTATAAAGTAATTAATTACAAAATATGGCATAGTCAATACATTAATTGTTCTGTCAGTGTTTAAATAAATAGGCTAAATTAAAATAATAGCCTAAAAGGCTATAATAATATTTTTAATGTTGGGGAGTTTTCATGCACTCTGGGGTGATTTTGTGTCTTAATTTGGCCATAACTCTTTCTGTGTTTCAGCTAGTGGGATGATTTTGGTGACAAATCTTATTTGACATATTTTGAGAAAATGCTTAGATTATTAAACCAAAAAAGAACAAATAACAAAACAATACACTCTGGGCAAATGTACTACCCTTTGTTACGTTTGTTACGTACAGGTTTTTAACTCTTTAATCTGCCAAGTTCATAAATGATGTCACCAATGTGGTGAAAAAAACCCACAAAATGACGTATTTTCAATATAATAAGTAGTCATTGGCTGGATTTTTTTAAAAATCTTTTATCCAAGTCTTGGACATGAGAAACAACACTGCCATTGATTAATTTTCATACTGTTGGTGGCTGTTTTTGCCCCATTGATTTCCATTATAACCACTGTTTTATCGCAAAAGCATTACACCATATAATCACGCATTTTTGATTGTTGCTGGGTTTTTTTGGGAAGAGATCAAATTTGTCATTTTTACTGTTGATCATCAGTCGGCACCATTACCCTTTAGATAGACCTGAGCAAAAAAAAAAAAAAAAAGCTCAGTTTCTGGATTTTATATGGAGTATAACAGAAAATTAAAAGTGTGTGTACATGTATCTTTGAGTGTGTGAGAGTGACCTTTGCGCACTTAATCTTGATGCATCTGAGAAAATCAAAATATGCTTTTCAGCTCTCAGAACTACATGGAGTAAACAAAAACAAAGACTGTGTATTTATGCACCATCAAATGTGCTTATAATGGAAGACAATGTTGCAAAACAGCCACCAGCAGTAAATTAGGGAGGAAAAACGAAAATTTAACAAAAGCCAATTGTTACTAATCATTCACATGTCCAAGACTGTGATAAAAAATCCAGTCCACAATTACTTTTTATATTGAAAATATGTCAATTTGGATGTTTTTTCCACAAAATAGTGGCATCATTTATGAATTTGACAATTAAAGAGTTAAAATCTTGTAATTTACTAAGCATTTTTTTTTATCAGGACTGAGGTTGATTAACAGATTTATGCAAAAAATAAAAATACACAATAGAGTATATACATCTGATAGCAATTTTACAGCAGCTTAATTCAGTGGATGTTTTTATCCCGCACATAATGAAAGGCTATCTGAACAGTGCAAAAGGGTTAAATAGTTAACGTATAGCTACTTTTTCACAATATAGGCTACACTTAAGTTGTATTTTAGGTTGGGGGTCCCTCACACTTTGATAAATGTTTAGGAGTCTGTGAAATCTAAGATATCATTCCATTATCAATATTATATATGGCAAACCGTGTCGCAGATAGAGTATAAAGTAAGTCTATAATAGACTAGTAAAATATAACTTTAATAATTATTACATATATAAAAAAAGCACCCTAATTGCAGTTGCATAATATAAAATTGCACAGGCTGTGTGTGCCTCTTATTAAAGGAATAGTTAGACTACTCATCAGACCCGCAGGAGGGGTTCAGGTGGTTTGAAAGACCCACCCCTCACTGTCAAAGGTCCAGAATTTGTTTCATACATGAGCTTACTTGTCCTACACTGTAAAAAAAAAAATGCAGGGTTCCACACAATTCATGCATGTTGCCCCAACACAAATCAATTAAGCTAACTTAACACTTTTAACACATTTGTGGATTGAATTAAAAAAAATTAATCTGTCACAATGAAATATCATGAATTGTGTTGTTTCAGCTCATTTTAAATAAGTAGTTTAAACAAGCAAAAAATATGTATATATTTTTTTATTGCATTTTGACTGCTATGCCATTATAAATTGTGAAAACAACCCATCAAAGAAGACTTGTACACAAAGGAAAAGTTTGCTATTTAAATGAATGATATTTAAATGACAATAGGCTACAGTGTTTATTTAAAACTTTAACAGATTCCTATTTTTTATCAAATTATATTTGATGTAATTGATGTATGTATATGATGTAAATGTTAATTGATGTAGCCTAAATCTTTAGGAAATGTTTTGGTTCATCAAAAAAGTGGTTATGATGACCATCCGACAAGCTAATCCATCAAAAAATAGTGCTTAAAATGACATTAAATGCAACCGATTTAAACCTCATAATTAAATAGAAAATGGGGCAAATACCTGCAAAAGGTCCTCCTATTTTTAATATAAAAGAACCACCCCTTTCACCAGGCTGGCTATACAGGCCTGATATCCTTCAATTTTTCAAATTAATCCATAAAATTATTTTCCCTGCAACTACTTATCCTATGCTTTCATTATGAGGGGGACTATCCCTTTAATTATGGCTCTCGTAATATTAGCACATTTCAAATCAAATCATTAAATGTATTCACATAGTAAATTTAGGTCTGCTTGAGTGACGCCCCTCCGTTTTCTTTTTTCTTTTTTTTTCTATTTTGGCTGAAGGCGCAGTTGTGGAAAGTGGTCCGGGCGAACATGAACTGCGGGTTGTGAACTGTTCAGATGTAGCCTACTTCATTAAACTTTACTAGTTCATTAGAGGGCCGTTATGCAGAATTAACCTTCATGTGGTGCAAAAGTGGAGCCAGCGTTTGGGGTGCACACACTGGATATTCGCATCTGTTTGAAAGAATCTCTCCAGACCTCTCTCAGTCTGCCGAGCGGAGATAACGCAAGACTTCTGGCGCTATGAGGAAGACACATAACGCGTGGAGCGGACTCCTATTGCGCGAATAAGCGGAGGAAAAGAGATGCATTTTCAGCACGCCGAACAACAGTGACAGCTTTCTAAATGCGTCTTCTTATCGAGCAGCCAAGAACAATGAGCAGTGGCTCTAGCAACTTTCTGCTAGTTCCTATACCGGAGTATCCTGTATTAGACTGTGTGCCAAACAAAAACGTCAAGATAGTTGTTCTGGGAGCAAGCAATGTCGGAAAAACAGGTAAGAAAATAAACTATAGCCTATATTGAATATAATGTATGTTTTAATATTGTAGGCTGTGCCATAATGCATATTTTTTTCCTTAGTAATTCGTTTTATTATGACTTTACTATTCAATATTTTATATTTAAACGTACTTTTTGCATTTGAATGTTTATGCATTAAAGGAACAGTGCACCAAAAGTGTAAATTCTGTCATTTAACCTGCTCACCCTTCACTTGTTCTAACCTGTTTGACTTTCTTTCTTTAGCTGAACACAAACGAAGAATTTGTGAAGAAACCTGGAAACCAGTAACTGTTGACGTACACTGTGTTTGTTTTTCTTACCAGTCAATGGTTACCGGCTTCTAACATTCTTCAAAGTATCTTCTTTTGTGTTCATCAGAATAACGAAACTCATAAAGGTTTGGAACCACTTGAGGGCAAGTAAATGTGACAAAAAAAAGAGTGATTTATCCTTTCAATTCTCTTAAAGTCATTAATAAAGAGTTAATATGCGTGTTTTTTAATCCTAAAACATCATGATGTCTGGGATATGTTTTAACGCCAGGGTGCGACATACACTGAGGCTCTGCCTTCTTGTGCACAGTATGTGCCTGCTGTGCTGAAACAAAATCTCCATTTGATTTTCATTTTCAGCTCTGATTGTAAGATTTCTTACTAAGAGATTCATAGGAGACTATGAAGCCAACACAGGTAAACATAATTAAATAATCCTTCTCTTCATGATCCTATACTAACCTATAAAATGGCTTTCATATTTGTTTACTCATCATCACATCTATTTCTGTCATTTGTACTCGACTGAATGAGTTTTAGGCATTCTTTTGGCATGATTTTCTTCATCTGTAATAAACTGTAAGTGTGGAGTCTTTTATTCTGTCTTGTTTAACATTCCTAGGGGCCTTATATTCAAGGAAGATTAATTTGGACGGGGAGCAAGTTTCTTTGCAAGTACAGGACACTCCGTGTGTCTCCCTGCAGGTACTTCAAATCACACTACCAAACGCTTCCTTCCGTCTTTCGTCTAAACCTCCATCAAACATTGTGTGCCCGTGGTGTATTATCACAGTCGTTGAGATCAGTCAGCCTCTTCGCCTGTGGGATTCCTGCATGCTTCAGATGAACTGTGGGGAATATTAGTTCAAACATTTGGCCTGTAAACAAAGTATGCAGCGCAGGGGAGATAAAGAGGGTGTGCTCAGCCATAAGCTCATTAGACTGACTCATGTGTACTGAAGGGCTCTCTTCAACTCAATGAATCTGAGCCTGGCTCAAGCGCAGTGTATATATAGGTGTTACGATGATTGAGAAGTAGCTTACCAGTTAGATTAGAAACAATTTATTGGTAGTCAGTCCTACAGAGTGCACTAGTGTCCGCCCATTTTTCAGCACGTTTCCCCTTTCCATAAGTCTTATATTGTAGACTTGAATTTAACAATCAGATATGTCAAACATTTTGATGTCAGGCATTTGAAAAAGACAAATGCTGCATACTTCCTTACTGATGTAGGCGAAAATAATATTTAATAAAAGAAATATGTCTGAATTCATAGTTTTTATGAAAGAGTTGGTAACAATGACCTACTACATCTGGCGAGAATGATGAAAATTGCACGTGTGTAGATGTATTGGAGGGCATACAGAAACTGACTAGGCTACATCATTTGCCGTGCTTCATGGGAGTGAAGGTGAAACAAAATAATTAAAAAAAATTTGCCCCCTCTTGCTGCAAGTTTTTCATTCTGTGGTGCTATTTTCTGCACCGTCAGTTAATTTCCCTCATTATAATGTTATTATATAAACACAGTATCTTTATTTTAAATAAAGACCTATGAAGACTGCTTTTATTCAATAAAGAATCGAATCAACTGTAATATTGTGAAATATTATTACAGTATAAAAATGGTTTCATTTTAAAATTGTTAAAGGGGTGGTCCAAAGTGTAATTTTTGAGGCTTGCTTGTGTTTATAAGATGCAAAGCAATGTGTGTTCATGCTTATTTTTTCATATATCTTACTTCGATTATAAACAGCTACTCTGCTAACATGAAAACGACTGCCATATTTCCTAATCCCTCTAAAAGCCTGCCATCAAGAGGCTCTGATTGCTCGGCTAACATTATGTGCTGTGATTCGTGGATCAGCTTCACATCACTAGAAAAGGTGTCACGTCCCTACAAGCATGCGCTTTTGCCCTATGTAAATACTGTACATGCGGTGTGTCCCAAATCGCATACTTATGCACTATTCTACGCCAATTTGTAGTATAAACAGTGTAAGTAGTGCATTTACACTAAAAACTCTTGCATTTATACTGAAAAAATAATAAGTGCACTTTAATTACCCGGATGATGTACTTATTCAACCGGTAAAATGAAGTGTGTAATGATGGACACTTCACGCACTCAACGACTGCAGGTTTGCTCATGTAGCAGAAGGGGCAGAGCTATCGGGCGCACATGTTGGATTACTATATTTATTTTGGATTGTGAAAGCAGTATTCTACTACGAGAGTGATCATAGCACCTCACGATGGTGAATGCGGTTATATTCCTGGCAGGTATTATTTGGTACTTGGTCATTTACTAATTAGACAAACATCATCAGGGAAACGGTTTGAATATTTGCTTAGTAAAAAACATTAGTGTTCCATTTGGGATGACACTACATACATATATTCTGCTGTTGAGTGTTTAAGTGCATAAGTACATAGTGCATAGTGTGCCATTTGGGACGCAGCTTGTCAGTCAGTTTAGCTGTTAGTCGTATCAGTTTGAGCCTGAATTAGAGAGAAAATGGCACAGAGGACATATCTGAACCTTAAGCCTGCTTTCTAAAATAAAGTATTTCCCATATATTCAGGTTATAAGCATGTGTAAGTAATATCAAACTTTTACATATCTTTTGTGAGTTATTTGAGATGTAGAACGCAGGAAAATCGGCTGCATAGAGAGATGCTGCAGCGCTGCTGAAGACTGTGAGTGTTTACAGCGGTTTGACTGATAAATATGAATTTGTAGCTAAATTGTTAACGGTGCCAGACAGCATTTTCTGTTGTTTACATCTTTGTTTACGCCCTCGCTATAACCTGTGGTTAGTGCTAGGAACAGCTTGTAACAGATGCATTTTAACAAATAAAAACAATTACAGGTTGTGGCTCACAATCCACAGCTTCTGCTATTGTTCTGCAGATGGTCTGTTTAAGGGCAGCACGGTGGCGCAGTGGGTAGCACAATAGCCTCACAGCAAGAAGGTCGCTGGTTCAGTTGGCGTTTCTGTGTGGAGTTTGCATGTTCTCCCCGTGTTTGCTCTGGGTGCTCCGGTTTGCCCCACAAGTCCAAAGACATGTGGTACAGGTGAAATTGTTTATAGAATATGTGTGTGGATGTTTCCCAGTGATGGGTTGCAGCTGGAAGGGCATCCTGCTGTGTAAAACATGTGCTGGATAAGTTGGCGGTTCGATCTGCTGTGGCAACCTCTGATTAATAAAGAGACTGAGCTGAAAAGAAAGCAATGAATGAATGGTTGGTTTAACTCATTCAGCGTTGAAGCGTTCAGTTTTTCTACTTACAAAGTCCGCCATTTAAATAGCAAATGCGCCATGGTGTGACACAACTAACTTTTAAAAGGAATGGGAGATGAGACTCTGATTGGTTTAATGCACATTATGCTCAAAACACACCCATAACTTATTAAGAGAATAAGCACAACCCTGTTAGACCATTTGCCTTGGCACAGAGTGGAGTTTTCTATCTTTAAAATAGCAAAAGTAGATTCAGACACATCCTTAATGCTTTTTGCGCCATGTGCTCTAGACTTTGTGCCTAGACCATTAAAATAGAGCCCGCAGAGAGGAATTGACCACGATGACAGGGTTTGAGTCCGGCAAAAGGACAAAAACAGAAGCCGAAAAATAACATAAACAAGTAAATAACAGGGTGAGAATGTGAATTTGTTGGTTTTAGGGAAGTGGGTGAGCGGGTCAATCTGTACTTTTGAAAAAAATATCAGTTGGGTTTAAGGAAGAAGGAGGATGTGTCAGTCAGTCAGTTGACAGCGACCTCTGGTGGATTTACAGCAGGCTTGAATGGAACTCGTGAGAGAAACTTGAGATCTGAAAAAGCATACAGTACACAGCGGCCTCTGGTGAAACTGCAAAAAAAAACAAAAAAAAAAAACATAACTTTAGAAATGTATATAGAGGTATGTTTTTTTTTAGAATGAGCCTGGGTTGTGATTTTTAGACCTTAAAACTTCTCGGTATGCTGCTTCATGTTGCAAACAGATATTGTCTTATTATAGTTGTCTTCTTTTTATGTGTAGTCATGAACACACTTGTTTGTAGATCAGTTAGTTCGATCGTTTTCTGATGTATATTATCCCTAGTCATTTCTCCAATAGGCAACAGAATCAGAAGTACTAAAATAATCGCCAAAACTTCGAATAAGGTCAATATAAGATAAGTCGGACAGTGGACATACTGTAACAGCAGATTTCTCATTCCAGGATGATGCAGACGGCCTTTACTGTCAAGAGCAGATCAACCGTTCCATTTACTGGGCGGACGGTTATGTGCTCGTCTTCTCCATCACTGACCTCAACAGCTACCGCACCATCCAGCCTCTCTACCAACATGTGCGCCGAATCCACCCCAGCGGTAACATCCCTGTCATCATCGTGGGAAACAAGAGCGACCTTCTGCGAGCCCGACAGGTCTCAGATCCCGAAGGGAAGGCGCTGGCGGATGAATTGGGAGGGCTATACTTTGAGGCTTCGGCCAGGGAGAACCACGAGAGCGTCCAGGCAGCTTTTCTGCACTTATGTCAGGAGGTGAGCCGAGCGCTGGGAGGAGGAAACGGGGAAAAGAGAAAAGGTGGACTACACCTTGCCAGGCCAAAGAGCCCAAACATGCAGGAGTTGAAGAGAAGATTCCGGCAAGTGCTGTCATCCAAGGTCAAGTCGGCTACGGCGCTATGAGGATTTGATGAATGTGAGGATTGGGAAAGTGTTAAAGTGTTGCAGAAGTGATTGTGAAACACAAGGCAAAACAATGAGCTGTTTTAGCAAGCACTCATAGACGACAAGAGGTGAGATCACTGCTCTCTGGATGAACTCCTGGCACTAAACTTTAATGTTTTTAATGGTTTCAAGGCCATCAAGTCTGTTTTTGTTGGTTTGTTTTAGATGCTGTCAAGCAACGGTTTCCAGGATTATGATGAACTCTCAAATTCGATTTCTTAGTAATGACTTTCTTATAAATTAGTATTACACATGAATCAGCTTTATCTCTTGAAATGGGGAGCAAATATTAACAGATTCTTTTTGACCGATGAGGCCATTTGTTATATAGAAAGTATCAAAACGTTAAGACGACTGTAATATTCTCATTTGATTGGGGGCAGATTTATAAAATCCTGTTTTAGGGTAATATATCCCATGTTTTCCTGACAGCGAGATGCATAATCCAGCCATGTGTTTTTATAATCATGGGAGAAAGAGGTTGTTTACTAGCATTTCCCATGACCTTTGACCTGCTTAAATTGTGTCAAGGATTTGAGGGTACTGGAGGTTCATATAGGGTTTCCTAAGCTTGTTTCTTCCAGATGTCCCATTCGCCCACTCAAATAGACTCATGTTTATCTTGCTGCGCCGATGAAGTAGCGTTCCTCTGAAGTAGGTCTGGAGATTCCTAGACTGAACTAGTAGCCGTGCACCCGCTGAGTCGCCGACCTCTAACCTTTCACCTTTGATAAATCAGTTTCTTTCATTCAGCCAATGGCTTAAAACAGATTAAGACCAAGACAAGCCTTCTGTTCTCTCATAATGTGAGTGTCCATTTCCTTACACTTTAACACAGTAAAAGCCTGGTAAAACATACTGTGGTGTGGTGATTTAATTTCTTGCTCAACAAAACTTTGCTATCTCTTTCTTCCTCCTTAACTGTATTTACCAAAACATTAATTTAATGATAAATAATAAATTATTTATCATTAAATAATAAATTAATAAATATTAATTTATTCAGTTTTCTTAGGCTACCCTCTTTATTTATCGGGGGTCACCACAGTGGAATTAACTGCCACCTTATCCAGTATATGTTTTACAAAGCAGATGCCCTTCCAGCTGAAACCCAGTACTGGGAGACACTTATATATTCACACACATACACTACGACCAATTTAGCTTATTCAATTCACCTATAGCGCATGACTTTGGACAGTGTGGGAAACCGGAGCACCCGGAGAAATCCCACACCAACACGGGGAGAACACGCAAACTCCACAGAAAAGCTAACTGGCCCAGCCGGGACACGAACCGGCAACCTTCTTGTTGTGAGGCGACAAAAAACATTCATTTCATTACAAATTCAACTAAAACGTTTTTTTGTATCATGAAATTGTTACAAATCTTGGCACTTGTTGGTGAATCACCAGTGTTAGAAGTTCTGTAAACCACTAGCGGATTTCGAAGCTGTTGGTAAGCATTAACTTATTTGACTGCCTTTTTTCTAATAAATGTGCAAATAGAAGTCAGCTGTGTGTATCTCTAAGGACTTAATGTAATCTGTTGTGGTTTCAGAAGTATTTCAGGTCATGGAAGGTTTTAAATTTGCTCTTAGAAAGTGTTATGCTGCATCCCATTTAGCATACTTATACTACACCCTAAAAGTATGTGCTTTTTTGTGAAGGTATATAAGGAAGAGTATATACTTTTGAGTGTGTGACAGAAGAGTATGCAAGCTTTAGGACATATTACTTTCTCGTCAACAGATATGTTGCTTAGTTATCAGCCCTGTCAATCATCCACATTTCTGTCATATTTAATTACTTTGCTGCAGCAGAAGCAGGTAATCTCCCATTCGGGAGTCTGTCATGCAGAGAAATCTCCTTAGGTCTTTGGATAGTTATTCATTCAGATGTTAATGTCCAAACACGTCTTTATACAAGTATTGTTGTTGCAGATGAAATACTGTATAACACAGAAAATGTGATTTAAATATTTTCCAGTTGGCTAGATATTAATTAACAGTAAATCAAACATCTTTACTGAAGCCTCTCTACGCGCGTTCGCCATGTTTGTAGTTGTAAGAGCCAGTTTAATAGTTATGTAAGTGATAACTAAAGATATAATTCCTGCAAAATTTGCTTTATATTCATGTATGGCAAAATCATACCTGATGCTTTATTATGTATAATTTGTGTAATGTTTCTTTAATGCTCGCATTTTTTTCTAGCAAGAATTTTCAGTGAAGTGTTAACGCAGGTATGGGAGAAACTGTTTTCTTACCGTCTGCTGTCAGTTAAAGGAAACCTTTCTTTGTGTGTCTAAACACTGCAGGAGACACACTTAAAGGGTAAATAAGGATGCAGAATGTAAGAACCATTTCGATTTTTGTACTTTCCTTTTAATAAACGCATATTTGTTTATGGATTTGTCTGACCTTGTAACAAGTAAAACTTATTGTTCCTGCGAAGCAAAGAAAGACATAGTTTGCAGCTATATTAGTTTATTTACACTTTTCACTTGCGTTTGTAGTTCTTATCGAATTCACGTGCAACGCGCAATGTACTGTTTCCAATATCAGCGGTTAGAGTATGGACGCTTCTGCTCTTTTTTTTAATTTTTACCAGAAATAGTAAACCATCCTGGGGTGCGTTTCCCAAAAGCATCGTTAGCCAACTAAGGTCACAAGTTCCATCGTTACAAACATAGTTTGTTGATTTGCCGTTTCTTAAATCCGTCGCTCCAACGAACATTCGCAAACTGCGTTGCAAACTTGATTGCTCGCAACTACACCTGTGGAGCTGTAGTTAGAAACATAGTTCCTGGCTGTGTTCTATTCCCACTTATCCCCCCTATGCCCTTTTCATTTAGAACATTATAACATTCAAAGTTGGAATTATTTAAAATAAAAAAGCATTAAGGTCATCTCTCTTAGGTGTAATTTGCTTTCAAACAATTTTTACAGTTCAGTTTTAGCGATCTTCATGTTTGCAGTTGTGTTCCCTTCACAGTGCACTTTGAAAACATTGATGTCATTTTAAACAAAGCCTCATGGCGAAAGCTATAGGCAACCTATTATTTAAAAGAGAAGTTTATGTTAAGTCTCCAAAGCTTGTGAAAACAAAAAGCATACGTTAACTCTTTTAATTTACAGTGGGTTATTTATTAAGTATCTGTACTGTCGATGACATGGGCCTGCTGGTTGGAACTTTCTGCAGTGATTTACTTGTGTCAAATTGTAAATGTAGACTTTCAATAAATAAATAAATAAATAAAAAATATCCTACTTAATAATGATTATGAAAATAATAATAATTAGCATCATCATCATCATTAATATTATTATTAAAGTATGATTTTTTCATTTCTAATAAATAATAAATATTATATTTTATTTTATGATAAATAGCCTCATTATTTATTTGTTTGTTTATTTATTTATTTGATTTATATGATATGTTTTAGAATAGAATATGTTCAACTTCTCAATATTATCAGTAAAGCAAACACAGGCCCTATTAGTGGCATTTACATATATTTCAGTTAATATGGAAAGTGAGTGCATGTTTTTACCAAATCTAGTATTGGATTTTATTTTTAATGCGTGTGTTTGTAAAACGGTATAATTTGCACTAAGAAATTATGGGTTTTTCTCTAAAGAAGCAGTTACTCCACCCCGTTTAGAGCATCATCATGGGCATTTTATGTTAAAACTAATGTGGTTCAAGCAATGGATCTTCGACAGAGAAACTACGGGTTTTGGGAAACACTAGTCACTACATGGTTCTTTTCCCAAATGATGCATCGTACAATGATAGTTTAGCCTCGAGAGAGATACGTCGTTGTTTGGGAAACACACCCCTGGACCCTTTGGCATGCTTTTTTCAACATATACGATTTTGGACATACTTATTTTGTTTTTAAATAATGTTTAGGACGGATACGATGCAAATTGGGATGCATCATTAGTTTTACAAGTGTACTAAAAATGTCCTCTTGAACATTTCATTAGAACTGTTTTATTAAATATGTCTTTCAGTGAGCTTGCACAAATATAACCAATGTTCATTATTCACATCTATAGGGTTTTATTCTTTTAATTCTCCCATTCATATATTGACATTAAGTTAAAAAAAGGAAAAAAAAATCTTTGGGAAAAAAAATTAGGTAGGGTGGAGGATTCCCTTAAAGGGGACCTACATTATGCTCATTTTTACAAGATGTAAAATAAGTATCTGATGTCCCAAGGGCATAGGTCTCAAACTCAATAACTGGAGGGCCACAGTTTTGCTCCAATCCTAATCAAACACAGCTGATCCAAACAACCGAGTGTTCAGAAGAGTCTTGAACACCTTGATTTTTTGGATCAGCTGTGTTTGATTAGGACTGGAGCAAAACTGTGCAGAGCTGCGGCCCCCCCAGGAATTGACTTTGAGACCTATGCCCAAGAGTGTGTATGTGAAGTTTGAGCTCAAAATACCACACAATTTATGTTTTATAACTTTTTTAAATTGCCCTTTTTAAGCTTTAATCCTAATTGTCTATTTGGGTGACTGTCACTTTAAATTCAAATGAGATGGTGCTCCTTTGAAAAGAGCGCGAAGCTACGAATGCCTATGTGCCAGCATAGTGGCAGATTAAAAAACAAGACTAACATCCTATGCTAATGAGAAAGATCATCACTAATGGGCGGAGCCTTCCCCCTCTGATATCAAATACAAAGGGAGAATGTCAATCAAAGTGTTTCTGCAGACTGTTATTATGAAGAGTGATTTAAAAACATAAAATAAAATAATTGTTACAATTAGAAGCTGGTTAAATTCACAGAATGTTTCCACACATCTGTGTTAAAACTCCTTATAAAAGTGATTTTTTCATAATATGTCCCCTTCAAAAGTCCCTCTATCAGTGTCATACTGCTGTTCACACTTTTCAGAGAAGTGGATGCAATGAATTTTTCCATATACCTGCAT